AAAAAAAAATAAACTAAACAAAAAAAAAACGAACATTGATTAGTGTTTAGTGTTATCTGTGGCTTTCATTGGCAAAATTCGTGTAAATATACTAAATAATTATAAAAAAAAAACATATACAATATTTTCGCTATCATTAAATAGGCATAAAAAATGTCAAATGTCAAAATTTCTCCATGTTCTTGGTATCTATCTTTTTTGAAATTTTTCTCTGGAGCGGAGTTCTGACACCCTGTAGATACAAGACCATAGACATAAAAAAGTCAAATGTCAAAATTTCTTGACAGATATAATTTCTCAAACATTTGTTCCATGTTCCTGGGGCGCGAGTATTAATTAATTAATTACCCTACATAGGGTAAGTCCGGGAAAGACACCATGCGGGGAAAGTAGATAGTTGGATGCTGTTTATAAATTTCAAGATCAAGGAAGCCATAAAATTTGATGTAATCTGTCAAATGTTGAATTTTTTTTTGAGTAAAGTTTTAAATTTGAATTTTATTTCAAATAAATTCAAAAATTAAACACCGGAATCACAATCAATTACATCACAATTCTTATCAATTACATAAAAATTTCCCACGTGTGTAACTTTTCATTTATCTAATAAAACTTGACCTTATCATATTTTTTTGTTAAATCCCTACCTGGAACAATAATCATTTTTATACTGTCGATAATATTAATCTCCAAGAGCACACTAATTACACCGGTAATAAAAGAAAAGTTCAGTAGTGTTGTGATAAAAATACTACAATAAATCTGTAAATAGCCATAAAAACTCTCCAATAAAAGATGAAATAAAACGAAATTTGATTTCGAGAAATTGCGTCATATTTATGACGTTTACGATGAGGTGGCACTTTTCCAATGTCAATGTTTTATATAACAAATGAGTACCGTCATGTACCGAAGATTTCACTATTATTCGGAGAAATTTGCAATGTCAATAGACGTCAACGAGATGAGAGGACTTTCATTCATAATCATGACACACCCCGTATATTTGATACAAATTCAAGATAACATAACACTTGTAATAATTATCATTGTTTATATTCCGTCATTTACAACATTTTTATTTATTAAAATAGACTGTCACGACCATGAAATTCATTTATGGGCCAAATGTTGGCTTGAAATAAACTTTTATTGCACACTTTTTCATGCATCATTTTTCGAAGAAAACTTTTGGACTTTCAGTATGCAATGTGGCAACGTTGGCATTGCCGTTTCTGTCACTAGACAACAAAAAAATTTGTTTCCATGGAAATCAGTCATTAAACAGCGTTGCCTTTTTGAGTACAAAGCGACGTTTTTGTATTATTTAATTTTACAAAGTGAAATATGGCAATACAAATTTAATTAATAAACTGTTGCGACTCGAAATATCTTTATTATGACACACGTCATAAATTTCGTACATTTATTTTACTATTTATAGCGTCCTACTTAAATATTTTAAACAATGTGTGTAGGAAATTAATTTATTTATTTGTTTTGACTTTATCTCAAAATTTAGCCAAAAAATTGGAGCAAAATATTTGATGAATCACCCAGTATTATTTAAAGATAATAAAGATATAACAAAGTAGGCGCCTAGACACTTCAAGTCTTGCGCAAGATTATATCACGTTTTTGATTAGTTAACGAACTTCAAACATGTTTCTACCTGCATTTTCACCACAGCACAAAAGAAGTACTTTTTTGTTTTTTTTTTCTTATGCAATCTTGGAAATTTTCAAAGACTGCAAGCACGTAAAAGTAAAAACCGGTGATTGCAGTCGAAGTCTCTATTTATTTAATTAATTAGCATCACTGCAACAAAACGCTTCTTTCACGCTGAACTTTGGCCAATAAAATTTTTTAATGATTCATTAAACAAAAAACTTACAATGTAATCACAAGCGGATATTTTGTCATAATCGCCTGATTTTTAACAAAAAAAAACACAAGTTTTTGTCAAAATTCGAGGATTAATTGACAGATGTGAATTAAGCTGTCAATATTTGTTAACACTTGACACGTGCCGTTGAGTAAATTTTTGCATATGGTGGAAATCCTTAACATAATTAGCGGCCATCTTGCGGCTGGGCATTTTTCTTTGATCTAGAAGGCCAAAAACCGGTTTGTCATTTGTTTATATTTGAGTTTTAATTGTTGAGTTGAATCATTGTGACGCAAAGCCAACTAGGATGCCAAAAGTACCGGTCACGTGACACTCAAATCAATGTTGCCAATTTTCGTATTCTTACAAAATCAAAAAAAAAATAAAAAATTTCGTCCAATGACGATTGAGCATGCACGAGACCTACCATATAACCAGTAACGCACCGTTACTGTGATCACAGTTATCTGAGCAGGCTGCGCGCAACAATCGAACATCAACCGCGTATTTGAGATCGCAGTGAGCGTGATTTTTTTTGTGATTTATTAAAATGAAGACCATCACATTTTGTTTTTTTGTTGTTTTGGTGATGAGTGTGCAGAATGTCTTCGCGGGACCGAGATACAGGTAATTAGCCTACTGCGATTTTTTTTCAAAATTTTTTGTCAATGTAAGTCGGGTCGGTGTTGCATCATTTGGATTTCTTTTAAGGGTCAAGCGAGTGTCCGATGCCCATTTGGCCGATCTCCAGTCTCGAATAGCGCTGAATAACAAGCTGAAGGGGGTTTCGGTCACTATGCCTGTAGGTGGAGGTCGGATTGATCCAGGCCGAATGTAAGTCTTGTTTTTTTTCTTTTCGATAAAGTTTCTAATTGGTTTTCTTAGAGGCCGCAGGCGTCGCTCGCAAACGAGATTCCTTGACGTTCTCTTCAACCAATCAGAGGAAGATAAGGGTGACCCGGTCGAGTTGAACGACTACGAAAACCTAATCCAGAGATTACTAAACTTGGAATAATTCTTTTTTGTGATTTTTGTGACTCGATGTGTGAATGGTTGAAATTGGAATGAAATTTCTTAGTGTAGATAAAACAAGCAGTATTAAGTTATACTTACCCAGATCTTGTTCTAGTCCCTAAATACATAGGTAATTTATTTTTTTACTCTTATTTATTTAATAACTTAATTTAATTAATGTGTGTAAATATGTTTTGCCATTTTGTATTGTTTTTGCACAAGTAAATGAGACTTATCATCAATTTGCGTTTTTTTTAATCTTTCCAACTTCATGTGCCAAGTGTTAATACCACATGTACTCCAACATTGGTAAAGTGTTAGTATCAAGTGAACTAATTTCTTGTATCGATTCTTCCAAAAGCGCACACTCCCACTATTTACGCCTTTGCTAGACAAAGACAGACTTATACCAAACCCGACACGAGTAAGTAAGACACAAACTCAAGTCTTGCGCATTGCCAACTTAACTTTTTATTAGAAGAGGATGGCTCAATCGGAGGTGGGTGTGTCAAAGTGAGAAAAAAGATAACCGATGTTTAAATCAAAATGGCGGCTGTCAACTGATCGGTATTTTGTTCTTCAATCCATTCGAAAGTGAAAAATTTGTAAAAATCGGCGTTTTGGTGTGTCGGAGTGCTTGTAAAATGTGCAATATAACGTAAACGTCACTATTTTCGCCCCCTTTGTTTGTTTTACCGTCCGAGGGTGCTTTTCAGTTATGGTTTCGAACAATGGCGGTTATAATAAATTGTGTGTTTGTTTTCGATTGATCTAGTGTGTTGATGTGCACGATTGCCATTGTTTTGTTCAATAATGAATACTGTCAATGCCGGCGACAACATCTACGATTTTACAAATGAAGAGAATTCGGCCAAGTGGAAAGGAGTGCTCACCACCGCCTTGAAAAGGGTAAGGGGGCTGTGTGAGTGGCGGTGGTGTCTTCACGGGGGCCGAAATCGCGATTAATGACAATCGGAGCGGTTGGCAACACCGCACCTGCCACCTGTCAAATTGTCAAATTTTATCGATTTTTGAAACGATTTTGGATTAAAATTTTGAAATTTTGATTATTGACGTAATCGGGGGTTTTAATTGGTGATTAATTGCACTGTTACACTGACGTCAGTCGCCACTTTAGACACTTCCGCGAATTTCGAAAAATTCAATAAGGAAATAATTTAATTTAATTTAAGTAAACTAAAGTGTCTTGTCATCATGATTATCTAAACAATTTGTAAACAGAGATTACTCTAACCTGAAATAAATTCGTGCAAAGGTTGTTTCAGTGATGGCAGAATTTCAAGGTCATTTAAATCAACCAATGAAAATTCGTCAGAAAACAAGTGAGAGTGCAAATAATTTAAAATTTTGACATTTTTCTCAAGTTTTTCGGTTAAATTCTGGAAATCTTGTTAGATAATGGCAAAAAAAAAACAAAAAAATGCGTTTGCGATGTTGCCATTTTCTGTATAGATTTAAAACGAGATTGTAATTTTTACAAAAAATCTATTCTCTAAAAACAATTTTTGGACCTAAATTTTGGCACTAAAGGCCGGCTATACCTACACAAAATTTCAGATCGTAGTGGCTTGTGATTTAAAAATTAAGTTGGTAAAACTGCTTAATATGGCGACATAAGATACGAAATGTAACAGACTTATTGTCAATTTAAATACAGGACACTTTTTTGATTTTAAAAAAAAGTTGGATGTTGCCATTTTTTTTATAAGTTTGAAACGAGATTTTGTGGGTTGAAAATATTACAAAATTTTCTAAAATACAAGAAATCATTTTTTTTTAACTTTTGAGGAAAAAAAGTTGCGATGTTGCCATTTTTTTATAGGTTTGGAACGAGATTTTGTGGGTTGAAAACATTACAAAATTTTCTAAAATACAAAAAATCATTTTTTTTAACTTTTGGGGCCTGAATTTCATACCTACACAAAATTTCTAATCATAATAGCTTGTGATTTAAAAATAAAATTGGCAAAATTGCGTATTATTTAAGTTTTATTATCAATTTAATCAAAAGCCATTATAATTGACCTCAAAAATGCAGTTGCGATGTTGCCATTTTGTGTATAAGTTTGAATCGAGATGTTGTGGCTTGAAAATATCACAAAATTTTCTAAAATACAACTTGAGTCACCAAAAAACCCTATTTTTTTACTTAAATTTGCCATTTGTCAGACTACTTTGATTGTAAATTTAATTGAGGTTTGGTATTTAACTTATTTAATTTAAAAAAATGCAGTTGCGATGTTGCCATTTTGTGTATAGGTTTGAATCGAGATGTTGTGGCTTGAAAATATCAAAAATTTCTAAAATACAACTTGAGTGACCAAAAAACCCTAATTGTTTACTTAAATTTGTCATTTGTCAAAGACTACTTCGATTGTAAATTTAATTGGGGTTTGTTATTTGACTTATTTAATTTCAAAAACTGTAGTTGCAATGTTGCCATTTTCTTATAAGTTTGAAACAAGATTTAGAGGCTTGTAGATATTACAGAATTTAAAAAAAATACATTTTGAGTGGCCTTGAAGAAACTACAATTAAAAAAAAAATACGAGAAAACACAATCTTGGTAAAAATTGACGTCAATTCTGAATTTATCACTGATTTATTGTATAATATGATTAATATAAGCAAAGTAAGTTTTTCCAGTAAACCAATTGTGATAAAAAATAGTGTAGGAAGCAAATGACGGTAACAAAAATGACGTAATAAGTGGAACAATCACAAAAACACTTAATAAATATTTGAACAAAAATCCACTATAATCTACTCTTAATATTTTTACTTTGATATTTGAATCACAATCACAATTTGAATCGATTAGTCATTTTTACAATTGGCTCCAATTATTTATTTATTTACTATTAAATTTAAATTAAATTTATGACTATGACTTTTATTCTTTCAATGTTGCCAACTTAGTGTCAGAGTGAGAGTTTTTTTTCCAGGTGTTGGAGCAGGTGCACCCCTCGCTGGACGCCCGCGAAGATGCCCTCGAGTACGTCGAAAACCTCTGTTTGCGCCTTTTGGCCATGCTCTGCGCCAAACCTAGTCCACACACAGTCCAGGTTGGCCCCCAGAACGTTTTTGCACCCTGACTCACCCTTATTTTCCAGGATGTTGAGTATAGAGTACAAAGCACGTTTCCAACCCCTATCGATAAGTGGGCCTTGAAAGAGGCCCAAGGCGCTCTAGATCGCGGCAAAAAGAAATCTGTATTGCTGTTGCCAGTTGACAAAATTCACAGTTTATTACAAAAGGTAACAAATAGGAGAAATTAAGTATGCAACTAATTTTTTCATTTCAGGAATTGTTATTGTACAAAGTCGACTCGACGGTCTCCCTTTTTCTAGTCGCTGTTTTGGAGTATATTTCAGCTGATATTTTAAAATTGGCGGGGAATTACGTGAAAAACATCAAACATTTCGAAATCACGTATCAGGATGTCCAAATTTCCATGAACGCCGATAAGGTAAACCATTTTGTATATTATTCAAGCTAGATGTTTTTTATTTTACGAGTTAGGTTAGGATTTTAAAAAAAAAAGGAGAAGCTTTTCATTTTTTTGATTAACTTGCTTTTGCTTTCACGCTGCGTCACAGCCCACAGCCATGGTAGGTAGCCATGTTTTTAGTTATTTAATTTCTTTCAATGTGGCAGCATGTTTTTCTCCCTAGTTGTAGAAACAGCCGCAGAGATATATATATTTCTAGTTGGGCTTGATTTTAGTTGCTGCTTGCACAGGTCACTATGATTTCCGCTTTTGCACACTAAATCGACTCAGTGGCTTTCATTTCTTCACATTTGAACATTTTTTATAGGCACTCATGGATATGTTCTATCAAGATGAAGGAGGGGGACCTGGTTTACCGACTGAGTCACTTTTAGTATCCTCAGCTCCTCGGACGAGTCTCACCTATGAAGAAGTCGTAAGAGAGTTAATTGCATCCGAAAAAGCGTACATCAAAGAACTACACATGCTGATTAAAGTGTTTCGGTAAGTGTCGGATTTACTCGGGTCACGTGATCCATTTAAATTTTCCAGCGAGGAAATCATTAAATTGAGCTCCGATTCGACCGAAATCGAACTGATATTTTCGAACATTATGGATATTTACGAACTTACTTATACTCTTTTGGGAAGTTTAGAAGATGTTATCGAGATGGCGCAGGATCAAATGTCATACATTGGCAGCTGTTTCGAAGGTAAATTCACAAAGTGGCCCGTGATTCTCAAGTTAGATTGGCAACATTGAATACACAAGCCACTTTGCTTTATGACCTGAATGATGGCGTTCTTTCGACTTTGAAGCAATTAAAATTAATTATATTTTGTGTTTCAATTTTTATAACAGAGTTTAAAACTTATCTACTTTTGCAGCGCCTAAAAATTGGTATTTTTATAGCTTTTAAAAAAGTTATTATTTTAAATAGGAATGTAGTAAATAAAAATAAAAATTCGTATTTTTATGGACCGAATAATTTATTTTTAAGCTCACCGTTATAAAATGGCTTCAGTCGCAAGTGATTGTTTTAGCGGAGTTTGAAAGAAACAAACATAAATAGACAATTAATTTATTACCGGCATGGTAGATCACTGTTTTATCGTTTTAGTCTTGACCAGTTTTACTCATGCACGGTTTAGAAGTGAACGGTTTTAGCTTGCAACTTTTAGTTTTGAACGTTTCTAGATGTTTTCACGGCCTATTCTTTAAAAAGTAATCTCATAGTTTGTAGAAAAAATACAGTACACAATTCTTGTTTTAGAGTTGGCCGAGGCCGCCGAATTCGACGTGTACATAAAATACGCGAAAGACGTCACCGCCCCCACCTGTCGCTCCACCCTCAACAGCCTCCTCTCGCGCCCCGAAGTGGAGAATGCGCTGATCTCAGCTGGCCAAGGCATGCGTCTCGCCCTCAAGTATTACCTCCCAGCCCTTCTGATGGGCCCCATCCGCCATTGTTTCTCCTACATCGAGTACATCACCCTATTACGCGGCCTCTCTGTCGCCCCCGAAGACCGCGAAACCCTCACCCAAGTCGAAGGCTTACTCAAACCCCTCCAAATCGAGCTCTCTCGTTGCGTCCCCTCCCCGGCCATGTTGCGCAGCTGCTCCACCCCATTCCTCCAAGTGCGACAACGACGCCAAGCCGCCTTGGATAAACTCCACGAAATCGAAAAGAACGTGGAGAATTGGGATCCGAAGGATTTGGGACAGTGTTGCAACGAGTTTGTGCGAGAGGATGTTTTGATGAAAGTCAGTTCAGGGAAGAGATTAACAGAACGAAGAGTTTTTCTCTTTGATGGTTTGTTGATTTTGTGTAAACCGAATTCGAGACGGCAAAGTTCGGTACACCAAAACCACGCTGAATGTCGACTAAAAGAGCGGTTTTTCATTCGAAAAGTTGAAATTATTGATCATTTGGACACCGAAGAGTTGAAAAATGCGTTTGAAATCGCCCCGAGACATATGCAACCATCGGTGATTTTATGTGCGAAAACAGCCGAAGAGAAGAACTCGTGGATGGCCGATTTGGTGATGTTGAACACGAGGTCGATGTTGGAACGCATTCTTGATAGTATTTTATCGGATATTGAGCGTAAACACCCCCTGAAACTCCCACCACCGAGTTTGTACAAATTCGCTGAGCCCGATTCCAAAGACAACATCATTCTCGAGCAAAGAGAGAACGGAGGAGTGCCTCTAATCAAGGGTGCAACACTTTATAAACTTGTTGAAAGACTGACTTATCACATTTATGCCGATCCGAAATTCGTACGTACTTTTTTGACGACTTATCGGAGTTTTTGTTCGCCGAAGGAGTTGCTCGATTTGCTCATTGAGAGGTTTCAAATACCGGATCCTTCATTGGTTTATGAACAAGAATGTTGCGATACAGATAAAATGCAAAAGAATAATCAAAGAGAGGATTGGAAGAAGTACAGGAAGGAGTATGTGCAACCGGTGCAGTTTCGGGTGTTGAATGTGTTGAGGCATTGGGTTGATCATCATTTTTACGATTTTGAGAGGGATCCCACGTTGTTGGTCAAGTTGAGGGATTTTCTGGACGCGGTCAATGGGAAAAGTATGAGGAAGTGGGTGGACAGTGTGCTCAAGATTTTACACAGAAAGGTAAAAAAAATATTTGTTTAATAATTTTGCATCTTTAATTTTTTAAGAAACTTCAAGATTAAGTGCTATTTATTTTTTTCCTATTTAAAAATAAAAAAAAATAGAAAGGCTTAAAGAAAGATAATTGTTTTAATATACCGGGTGGGGCATCGGTTACGCGCACTTGGTAAATCGGCGACTTCAAATTAATTAAAGCTGGCGATATTTCATATACCTAACTAATTATTGGTAGGGTATAATTTGAAAATTTTTCTAATTTTTTTGGATAATAAATGAGTCCGTAACAGTTTTGTGTGTTTTATGAATACTTTCTGTTAATTTACCTATAAAATTTTTACACACAATTTCAAATTTTGACTTGGTTATCCAAATATTCGCTTTTTTTTATTTAAACACAAACCAGACCCGTGATTTATGACAAAATGGTATAATTTGCCAACAAAAGAATCATTTACTGGTAGTCGACCGCTTTAAAGGGTCTTTTTGTTGTAAACCTTGGAATCTTACCCAAACTGCAGTTCCCCATTGTCACCTAAATTTACGATGGCACAAGTAGCAGGTCATAAATAAAAATGATTTTCAAAGTTAAGATGGAAAATTGCGTTTAATTCAAAATCTAATTGGTATTTTTTTTTCTGATTTTGTAAACAATTATAGGAAGTGAATCTGCGTAGGTCAGTATAAAAATTAGAATTAAATTTTTTGGGAGAAAATTACTTTTTATTTTTTTTTGGCTTTGTTTGTGAATTACCAAAAAATTAGAGAATGTACCTTACTAATGTCCAGGTAAGTGTGAAAAAATTCAACAATTTTATTTAATTAGAAGTGGGGCTTTTCTTTTTGGGCGTAACGGATGCCCCACCCGGTATTCAGGGTGATTCAAAAGTATCGGATTATATCTTGGGTGGTGATAAAGAACATCCAACTGAGTTAATAGTGTTTGAGATTTTTTTTAATTGTCGGCCATTCAGATTGTGTAATCTTTAATTTAGTAAGCGGAAACAGTAGATCTTGCAAGACTAAATAGCTTATCTATTAAAAAAAATCACCAGTTTGTATCTTATGGTGTAAAAAACATTTAATAAACTAGCAAATTCAACAATAAATTAAATCCAACAACATCGGAAACAAAAGAACTAAGATGCCTACATGATAATTTGAAAATTGACAGTTCTGTTTTTCTCAAAATAAAAAGCATGAAACAAAAATCTGAATTTATTTTTATACTTAGCTGAAACTCTTCTATCTAAAGTTGGTCCGACACTTTAGAATCACCCTGTATATTTTTTAAATTTGCGAATAAAGTGACCTGTGACTTCGAAATTAAGTTGGCAATACCGAATTATCGATGACATCAGATTCTATCAGATGAATAACAATTGAATAAAAGTTTCACGTTTGAATTTTATAGTTTATGTTATTAACTTCATTTTAGTCATAGGACTTTGATTAGAAATTTATTTGAACAGATGGTACAGTTCCGGACACGGAATTTTGGACGAATTTTGTAATTTGACGGCTAGAAAAAACAATGACAATACATTAAAATAATTTATTGAACTAAACAGTATGCCCCCAGATTGAGTTTACAAGAGGAAAAAAAATTTTTACTTGTAATTTTTTATATGCTTTTGACACTTAATTAATTAATTAATTAAATAATGATTCTTCTTGTTAAAAGTTATCTTAAAGCTGTTTATTTGAGTTGCCATTTATTAAAATTATGCTTTTCACAAATATTTTTGTTATTTAACTTGCGTAAACTTATTTGTCAAAAAATAAAACCGCCAATGTGATGAAATTTAAAACGCGGAGAAAAATCATCAGATTTGCAAAAAATGTTTTTCCTTTACAGTTTTGGTGTAAAATCAAGATAATTTTTTTAAATTTTTTTCAATCTGGTGACACTGTATAAAAAAAAACGTGAAAAATAAAAAACAAAATTAAAGAAAACTAAACTTTTAAAATTTTACTTTCAAGCGTGGCTTACATTGACATTTTTTGAATGGATATAAATTTGATGTCCAAAATTCCGTGTCCGCAATTGTACACATTTAAAGGAAAAATAATAACAGAAATTGTAAAAAAATTACAAATTTCAAATCATTGCAAACCGTTTTAACTTATAATCAATAGTTTTAGTTATGACTGAATATCTTTATAGTAAAATTTTCTATTTGGTTTCCCATGATAAAAACGTATTTGTCAAGTTTGAAAATAAATGCAAAATCAAATACAAATTTTGATAGTTTTTCTGGGAAATTGATATTTTACTTGAGCATCATTTAATTTACAGTAGAACCTCGTTACAACGAGAATTTAAGGGATCAAAAATTTTATTTGTTACAAAAGATTTTCGCTATATGAAAAGAGAAAAGAAATCTTAGGATAGGTAACGTCATTTTTTACTACTGTCACTGATTAATTACTTTTTTTTAGAATGACAAAAAAATGATGACCACGATATAATATTTGTCCTCAAGCCAGCCATAAGCGGAATCCTACTGTATTATAAAAATTAATTTTTTTTTCTTAATTTTTAGATGGAGAACGATAACCAGAGGCACATCCGCTTCGCCTTCGACGAGCCGCCCCCGCCAATCGAGTGGCACATCCCCTGTCCCGAGGAAGAATACGGAATTTTGACCCTGCACCCCGTCGAAATCGCTCGCCAATTAACAATCCTCGAATTCGACTTGTACCGAATGATCAAACCTTCTGAACTAGTTGGAGCCGTTTGGACAAAAAAAGATAAAGAAACAACAAGTCCGAATTTACTAAAAATGATCAAACACACAACAAATGTAACACTTATTGATTTTTTTTTACAATTTTAAAGACAATTTCATTGTAGGTGGGCCGTTGGTTGGAGAAAAACATCGTCGAGGCGGAAAATTTCGAAGAACGTGTAGCAATCGTGAACCGAATAATCGAAATAATGATAGTTTTATACGAAATAAATAATTTTAACGGCGTTTTGTCGATTGTTTCGACTTGTGCATCGGCGTCTGTCCATCGTTTGAAACTCACATTCGCTTCGTTGACGCAACAGAACAAGAAAGCCCTGGAGGAGTGCCGCGCCGATGACCATTTCAAAAAATACCAAGAGAAACTACGCTCCATTAATCCCCCTTGTGTCCCCTTCCTTGGCATGTACCTCACCAACATCCTCCATATCGAGGAGGGCAATCCCGATTTTCTCCCCAACACCCAACTCATCAACTTTTTCAAACGCAGAAAAGTCGCTGAAATCACCGGAGAAATTCAACAGTACCAAAACCAACCCTACTGTTTCAGCGTCGAGCCCAAAATTCGACATTTTTTAGAAAATCTCAACCCTTTTGGGGACCTCTCCGACACCGAAATCAGCAACTATCTATACAACAAATCGATGGAAATCGAACCAAGAGGACAGAAACAAATCCAGAAATTTCCACGAAAATATCCACATTTGAGTCTCAAAAGTCCGGGGATTAAATCAAAATCGACGAAAACAACAGCAACAGCCGTCACAAACGCGATTAATTCCACATTGAATTCGTCGAATATCAAGAGTGACGACTCTAAGAGTGAGGATTCCTCGAAATCAGATAACGAGTTTAGTGTTTTTGCACCGGTGCAATTGGGGACCTGTCAGAATAGCCCCACTTTGAGTCCCGTGTCTCCGGCCACGTCCAACACCATCTTGAGCTGGTTCCAACCCAATCACAACCGCAGCCCCAGTGTGGGCTCCATCATGTCCACCACGTCCATGCGCAACCCGCCCCCGCCGCCCCCACAAGCGTAAGTAAATGTGCAAATTACCTTCACTCCACTCACCTTTTACTCTCTTCTTATTTCACTATTTAATTTGCAAAATAATCAAAAAACTTTTACATTGTCAATCTTAGTCGGTAATGCAGGTCACGTTTTAGAAATTTTCGAATTAGAAGTTGATACGGGATTCAAATATTAATTGAAATGCAAAATTTAAAAAAAGACTCTCACTTATTGCGTTTAAACCGGTTTTATATTGTAGGTTATTAGAAATAATGAATTTTTTTATTTACAATTGTCAAAAGCTTGGTCGGTAATGTAGGTCACTTTTTAACGTTTTCGTATTAAAAGTTGCTACAAGAAGCAAGTATTAATTAAAACAGATCAAAAATAAGAAAAGACGCTCACTTAATGCCTTAAAACCGCTTATACACCTTGTTTTGTGCGAAATTATATATTTTTTTGTTTGCTACCAACATGATAAAACAAAGTCTAAATCAAGGACGCCGATCATTTATTTCATTGTTTAAAATTTCAGATCGAAGTACCCGCACTACAGTCAGAGCTCGACGGGTGGGTCAAATAGCCCAGGTCCGCACAGCCCCGCCTCCCCCGGCCCCGTCCAATCCTACGAGCCGAACAGTCCCCGCCGTCCGCTGACTCCACCCCCGCCTCCGCCTCCTCTTCCGCCGCGTCGACGTCGTGACAGTCCCGAAATCAGTTCCCCGCAATTGAAAAGCGATCCTCATTGGCGCGATTGTTCCCCTCCGCCGCTTCCACCGCGTCGTGGTGATCCAGGCTCCTCCCCTAGTTCCCACATTCAACACTCTCATCATTCCTTTAATTCGTTCGGGGGCGGAACCATGCCACGACTTAATCCCACCCACATGTCGCAGTTGCATATGAGACGGCATTCGACGGTGCAGCCGCAGGTGCCGAGGAGGACGGTCCATGCGAATGCCACGCCCATGTGAGTTTTTCTGTAGTATTGGGATTGGTGGGGTTTGATTGGGCGTGGTTTCAGAGTTCCTCAGAATCAGCCAGCGAGTATTTCGCCACGGTATGACTCGACGACGCCGAGGTTGCCCCCGAGGCCGGCGGCGAGGTCGGCCGATATGGTCACGGGGCCCATGTTCCAATACCCGAGCACTACTACTACATAAGGGGTGCAAGGGGCTTCCAGATAACCTCAAGAGTTTTATCAAAATGATTTCAATTTGTTGTCGTGTGGTTTGATTGTGTACAAAAGACTTGTTCTATTTATTACGTATTTTATGTAAGCATAGAGTTGGTGATGTTTTTTCCTCCCCCTTATTACACAGATTTATGTACATTGTGTAAATATTGTAATATAATGTAAATGTATAAATATAGTTGCCAAAAAGTGTAATAATATGGAAAAAACAGTTTTCTATGTTGAAATTTTTTATGATGATAATAACATTGAGATGGTGCGATTGATGGCAATCTTCAATCACACTATTCCAACGTGGAAAGGAATTGTTACAGTATAGATGTTTATTTTGAGTTCTTGTAATTGGAGACGTGCCCCCAAAGGGGGCAAGTCCCCAATCACCTCGTTAAATTGATGATTTTTTAAGCTGTGATAGTAGAAAATGGACCATACTTTGTAAAAAAAAATTTATTATGACCTTCAAAATAATAAGTATAATAAATGTATCAATGTAGCAAGCATTTAAATCGCCCCCTCATCCTCCAACAACCTCTTCTTCCTCTCAGCCCCCGACGCATACTTATAAACAGCCCCATTTTTCTTGATAACTCTGTGACAGGGCACGACATACGCGATTGGGTTCTTACCAACGGCTCTACCTACGGCCCTCACAGCCTTAGGGCGCCCCACAGCCTTTGCAATATCCTCATAACTCGCAGTCTTGCCCTTTTTCACCCTCAAAAGGGCCTCCCACACCTCAACCTCAAAATCTGTCCCTTTGAGCAACAAATTGTACGAAACTGTGCCCTCAAACAACTTTTCAATGTTTGAGGAAATCAACAAATCGTTGTGTAGAGTGGCATTGGGCCAGGCTTGTCTTAAACTTCCCAAAGGGGGCTCACCGTCGTAGAATTTGAGGAAACAGAGAGTGTTGCCATGTGCCTGAAACGCTGCTAGGCAATTCCCGAATTTTGTGGGGGCTGTGCCGTACTCCAGCACCACAGGGGGGCCCTGTTTGTGGGCATTGGGGCCGATTTTACGGACCGGGGCTAACGCAATTTCACCCATTTTTAAACCACTACTAGTAATAAAAAAACTAATTCAAATAAAAGAAAGATACGATACTTACTTTTTTGTATTTCGATAATGAAGAAAAAAATTAGGGATTTGTAGTAATTTTGTTGTTACGTTGGCACCACTGAATCGATTTTTAATTTGTCGTTTTATTTGAATAATTTAAAAAAATAATTACGGGTGTCTGCTAACAAGCTTGTTACTCAGACTTGTCTTAAATAATTTATTAAATTTACTTATTGTAATTTTTAACGCAATTGTCAAGTCAAGTCAAGGCCCACTTGATGATTACATAAATAAAGTAAAAATGCCGGTTTTTGCAAGCGCGAAATTGGCAATTAAAGTGTCGTCTTATGGCGTCGCGACGCATGACGCATTTAACAATTTTATGACGCATCTCCTGAATTTATGTAAATTTGAGAGTTGCCGCCCTTACATCTTTCCCGTTCAATTGTTTACAGTACAGTCCCGTCCCTCATTTCTGTCAAACGTGGTTTGGTCCTGCTTTGTATTTTATCGGTGTTGGAAGCGTCGCGACGTCACTGGTGGCGTCGCGTGATGTTCCTGGTGGTGTCGGTGGCGTCGTGTGCCCCCTTGTCCCGGTATTTCGCCCGAAACCCCCGCGCGTTGTTGCTTTGAGTGTACCAAGCCGGCAAAATTGCAAATGGCGGGGGTCTATATATAAATATTATATTTAGAATTGTTGCACGTTTTCGGTTTTGTGGCGGTTCTCGAGGGTAAAAGTGGGTTTTAGTGAGTGTCCCGGGGGCGACTTTGTGGTTTTTGGGGCGATTTGTGCGGGTTTTGGGGCGGAAAAGCACAGCCACGGCCTGCTTGTTTATATTTTAAAATTGAATAGTACACCCCCTGGATCTCGGAAAGTAAATATTGTAGTGCGCCGGTGCAAGCACGGACGTACGTCGCACTCCTTACATGCTTCTAACGTGCGTCTTCGGCGACACCGTCGTCGACGACTCAAGTCGGTGATTGGGCCTTACAAGCAATATAATTATTTAAGTGAACATTTTGCATTAAAAGTTTTTATCGATTTTTTACGCATTTTTCTCAGTGCTGACGCTTAAATACCGTTCTTAAAGCAAGGGTAAGTCGCTCAAACACCCTCAGGGGTACTAATTCACACATTTACACATCATTATTGCCATAAATATTGTTTTTGTTGTACATTTTTTCATCGCTATTATTTAGGGGTTAGCCAATATGGCGAAGCTTGCTTTTTATGTAATGTTTATTTCAATCGGACGCTTTTTACCACCCAATGCACCCCCCAAACCATCAATTTTAACATTTTCACGCTTAATTACTGTAATTAATCGCGATTAATAATCAAGTGGGGGGGATTTTTTTTCCAAAATTCTCCCCTCGATCAAGTTAGCGCTTTTCATTTATTTTCCCCCGACTCACTATAGTTAGGTTATGTTTGGTCGAATTTTGCGGAATTTTCCGCACGTTGTCCACATGGGAAATTCACGAGTGCAACAAGGACGAATAATTCCAGTCCCACATGCCGAGACGCGTTTTTTGCAAATAAAAAAATTCAAAAAATGCAACAATCTGGTGCTTTTTTTGTTGTAAACAATGAGATTGGCAATCTTGATGTTTTTATTTAAACAAAATGGCGGCTAGTAAAACTATTCGAATTTTTTCAGGTTTTGGACGATTGTACATTGAAATATCTATTTTTGGAGGAATATACACCGCCCCCTTGCTCTAATGAGTCTCGAGTGAAGCCGTCACGAGAACATAGCGAAAATGGTGACGCCTCCGCAACAATTCTGCGTTCGATGGAACAGTTACCAGTCGAATTTGCAAAATGCCTTCCCGAAACTGCTAAACTCCGAGCATTTCGTCGATGTTACGTTGGCCTGTGAGAATGAGATGCTGAAATGTCACAAAGTGGTCCTATCGGCGTGCTCCACCTATTTCGAAAAACTTCTACTAGACAATCCTTGCCAGCACCCTATCATTTTCATGAAAGATATGAAGTAAGCCCCCAAAAACTAGCCGAAATCTCTCTAATTTCTTGTCTAGGTTTCAAGAAATGCAGTCATTGGTCGATTTCATGTACAAAGGAGAAGTGAACGTAACTCAGGACGACTTACCTTCATTGTTGAAAAGCGCCGAGGCCTTGCAAATCCGGGGGTTGTGTGGCTCGGATCAGTTGTTGAGTCAGCAACAGTTGGGGGCCCTCAAACCACAAGTAATAACACTTCCCTCACAAGCCTTGATTAATGAAATGAATTTTTTAGTCAAAACCGGTCCTCAATAACGTAGAGAATAAGAACCACGAAATGGCCAAACCGGCCGAAGTTAATGTGAAAAAAGAGGAGAAGATTGAATGTTCGGAAAACAATCCGTCATCGTCCGAATGTGATTCCAATGACGGAGTCCAAAGCAAAAGTAACGCCCGAGTCCCGCCTTCAAATATCCAAAGAATTGTTTTCCCCGAACACGAATTGAAGGAGGAAGTGGACAATGATTCGTATTATGAGGGCGAGGGTGACCTTATGGACACGGAATTCCTCGAGGAAGACGTCGCGATTAACACGAATGATCTCAACAAAACGCCAGAGTTTGCCATCGCCAACGTCTCGTGCCAGTACGACGGTAGTCCAGGTAATTTGACACAAATCGAAGCGGTTGGAAAAAACAAAGAGGCAAATTAAATTGTTCATCAGTTTAATAAAGTTTTCCAAATAATATTTTTCTGTATTAAATGAAAATTGCTCTTTCAAAACTAAAATCTTCCAATATTTCATATTTACTAACGGCCTATGTTGCAACTGAAGCAGCACTTCTCAAATAAATAATAAAAAATGAATTATTTTCTTTCACAATGTGAATTTTTGTTTAATATAGCATATTAGTTTTCTTCTACCGTGAATATCTATCTCATTTAAATTTCAACCTCAAGACCGTAAACACCCTGTAGGTATTTATCTACGTAACTTTTGGATTTTTTGTTTATTTTGTAAAATGTTTTCAACCTAAAAGATTTTTTTAATATGTTATCTACACGAAAAAAAAATATTCATAAATATCGGATATTATGATATTTATATAAATATCATGATATTTTCCAACCCTGTTTTATTGTTAAAATAAAGAATAATAGATTTATTTTAACATAAAAGTGATTATTGAGTGATATTTCTTCTATCTCTAGTGCAAATGTGCATTTTTTGACTATTGAAATAATTATTTTTTTTAAATGTTTATAGTTAAATAACTTAAAAGTAAATGTTTTTGGAAAGATTATTTAATAATTTCTTAGATGCAAAAACAATAAATAGGGTGTTCCATTTAAATTTTTTAAGTTATTTAACTTTTAACAACTTCGACACATTTTTAACTTTTCGACTTCAAGACAAAAAATGTTAGTCTTTAAAGTTTGTACTTTCCTTTTTACAGCTGTCTCAAATTCTTGTGTAATGAATTTTTAAAAAGAGGCTGTTTTCGCCAGTTCAAAAAGTAAGCAAAATCGACTAAGAAATTAAGTTAAAAAACACTGAAATTGAAATCAACATTCAAAAATGCTAAGAAACATATGGTGTTTCATTTAAAAAAAAACATAAGTTTGTAATGTAACTTATTTTTGGGCTACCCTGTATAATCAATAATATTTTCCTGAAATGCGCTCTAGAATATAAATAAAGTCTACAAAATATCAAAATTCCCACTTAAAGAAGACCGGAGCTGAGATGAAGAACCCTGTATAACAAGTTTAGTATTTTGAAGCTTTTATAAAAAATGAAAATTTCAGATATGAATTTGTTAAAACTTCAAATTTAAGGCTAAATCATTAAGAAATTTTTGCAAAGAACAGTATGGCCATAAATCTGTATCTCAGAGTACAGAAATAATTTAAAACAAAAATTTTTAATTAGAAACCAATGTCACAATTTTATGTAACATTTCAGAATGGTGGGAACATTTTGTTGTAAGTGAATGTAGGAGATTAACAGAAAGATATTTGTTTTTGTTTTATCTATAGTTAATAAGAGGCACTTAAAGGACTTAAGCGCCCTAAACATTTTTTTAATATACAAAAAAGCTAAAATAACTTGAGTCCAAGGTGGAAATTATTGTTCAATGAATTTCTTTAACAATATATTTATTAACTGGGAAAGTTAATTGTCTTCCAGAAAATCTTCAGCATTTTGAATGAAGAAGATTTCTGTAATAGTCCTGATATTCCTTTGGTTATCGTATTTTCCTTTACTGATGGATTTAGTTCATTTCTATGTTGAAGGAGTAATTATGGCAAATTTAAAGGTTTTCTTGTTTTTTTTTCTTAAATTGACATTTAAAATTTTCTGTGAAATTTGTATTAAAATATAATTTTTTTATGTGTTATGTGTTAATTAAATCCAAATAAATTCATGTAATTTATAAACAAATTAGCTTTTATCTCCACATTTTTTTCTTGAAACAAGAAATAAACGCTACCAAAGTCCAAAAAGTCTTCTAATTTGTCTTCTATCTGGGAATTTTCTTTCCTCTTTGATGAACTATGGTTATTTGGTTGTCAAACATTTTTTGAGAGCTTTACATAAAAATTCAGTACTAATTGACAATGTCTTAAGAAAAACTTTTTGCCATGAAAACTTGTTTTTCAGAAATAGGTAAAAATTTGGCATTATTTTATTCCGACTCAAATTACTACATGGTGATTTTGTTTTTTTGCTTTCAATTCACAATTATAACATTTCAACATCTGTTATTTTATTAATTAATACCGATTGCAAGCTTTTATGCATTTTTTTAAATAGAAGGTGTATTAAATATTCACTTTTAACTATTATTTATTTTTTGAAAAAATGGTACAGAAATGATTTTTTATTGTTATGCTCGTACGGTGATTGAAAAGCATCGGACAATCTCTTATACAGAGTGCACCAGAACTCGCGCCCTAGAGAAAAATGTAATGTAAGGTAAGATTCCAGGATCATGAAAAAAATGTTAAAAAATTCTGTTTGTAAAAATTTCGAAGTTAGAGGTTAAATTTTTATTTTTGTTGGAAAAATAATTTTCGAATTTTTTTCGCTACAGGCTTTTAGAAGAGGAAACAAGGAAGCTGTATCCTAAATTGTAACTCTGTTTAATGTTAATTGTGGCTTTTATTGGCAAAATGTTCGTACCTTTACTCAATAATTATTAAAAAAAAACATATTCAATAGACATCTTACATGAAATTTTTCTCTGGGGCGCGAGTTCTGACACACCCTGTATAGTAATAAAAAACGTTATAGTAATAGAAGCTTTGATTTTTAAATACGAATATTTAAAGATAGCACAAATTGGCAACGGTGCAGTACATTTTAAACTACTTGTGTCTGTATTCAATTACTCTTAAAATTTTATTTATTTTTTAATATTCTAGATTTAACGTTTTTACTAATAAAACACAAAATTACCTTCTTTAATTATTAAAAAAAATATATAGTGGGGTAAAAGCGAGAAGTGCACACCTGGGCGGGGCATAAACTTAAAAAGGGGCGCGAATCAGTGACGTTCTTTCCCAAATATTGCTATTATAAAGCGAATCTACACGCCACTGTTTCCAAAACCTCACCTTTTTTTAAGTGGACTCGTTTTGTCATGTACTTCTAGCTTTTTCCCCATTCGTTGTATATTTTTTAAAAATATTTGTGTTTTTTGTATTAAATCGGGGATATAGCAAAATCGTTTTCCTAAGACCTACTAAAATTTTTATGACACATTATAAGGGATTAACCAAACAATGGCTTGAATTTGTAACCCTCCATAAATGGCACGCTCCTTTGCAAGTGTTGCTGCACCCACTAGAATAAAACAGGGCCGTATTTAAAACTAAAGTAGTGGTAGAATTTTACCAAGCTATTATTTAAAAAAAAAAAACAGCTTTATTTAATAATAGCTTGTCCATCTGGCGTTTTTAAATTTCTTAAAATACTTGACTTTAATAACAATTACATCAAAAACTATTAAAATATTTCAAGTATTTTAGATATAAAGAAAGTAAGTAATCCGGCCCTGTTAAAAACTGACCTGTTTCCTTGGTTTCTGGGTCCGGGTGGATTCCACTAATTTATGATTTGTTTACCCTCTTAACAATACCGCATTTAACTTAAAAGTTATAAAATTTTTTGTAGGTCTTATGAAAACGATTTTACTATAAATGATTTAATTGTTGTGTTGTTTTGTTAGGTTCGGCGACGAATCGGCGCATCCGGCGTTCGGACGAGGAGCTGCGAAGGGCCGCCGAGTGCATAACCCGCGGGCAGACCTTCCAAACGGTCAGTGATCAGTTTAATATCCCCATATCGACAATCCGTTTTTACATGGCGAGGAAAGGTATTTTGCCTCGACGTAAGCGAGGAAGGGCTTGTTCGGGCCCGACGGGACTCCCCATGCCTGTCCAGACGTACAATTCCCCAGGCAATACCAGTCCCATCGGTCCACCCTACCATATCGTCCATTACAAGTTACCAACGTTGGGTGTTTCAAAACTTAAGTAAGAAATCGTAAGGCGGATTTGATTTCTTTTTTTTTTTGGTTTCTTTTTACACTATTTACGCGATCTATTTATTTTTTATGATTTTTTATACAAAGTTCAGTATTTTATTTCGACTGTACTTAGATTAGGGATTTTTTGCTGCCAAATAATTTTAATTTTTGATCTGAATTCGACTCAATTTCAGTTAAATTAATGATAAGGAAAATGGAAAATTGTCTTCTAAGATATTAAGATTTGTCGTGGTTAGAAAAAATTGTAGGAAGTTGTGACTTAGGTTAATCGGAAAATGAACTAGAATTGTACAAAAGAACCTTCTGATATTTGAAAACTGTACTAGTCCGAAAAGATGATTATTTTGTATAACGTGAGATTGCCCATCACTTTTTTTTTAAACTTAATTTTTAGGGCTGCCATTCGTGATATTAAAATCATTCTCATCTATTTATTTTTAACCATCGCAAACGTCACCGTAATCAAAAGTAGGCTTCCATCGTAATTTAGGAGAAAAAGTATCTCATTTTTTTATTAGGTTAAGACCCTAACCAAAGCAGTTGACTGATAGAGTGGCAGCTTAAGAGACTAAGCAATACCAACACACAAAAGAATTATAATTACGCTTATTTTTTTTTATTTCTTTTTATTTTGTTCCCGATATCTTGCAAAACGGATAATAATGCCAGTGATACACACACAGAGTAATTAAGCCATAGACCGCACTCACCTCATTTAATTTATTGTAATTTTTCGTTTCATGGTCGTAAAAATAGACAAAAACTGAGACACCACTGTTTAGGTGCCAGATTCTCTGATCTTTGTAAAAAGGAAATAAACAATCGTATTTATCGAGTGTGCAACTCGCTCGAAACCAGTAATTATTATCGATAAGACTAGTGATAAGTGATTTGTTAGATTTAGACCAGTTTGTGTTGATTTTTCATTTTGTTCTTTCACTTCGTTATGTATCCGGTTCTCATTTATCAAGTTTTTAGTTGTAGGTTCGTGTATGATATGTAGCCGTTCACTTGAACAATTAGTTTAGGGATTTTCTCGTTTTTTTCCGAAATTTTTCTTTGGGGTAGTGATTTTTTCGCAGCTGAATTCAACTCTGATTTCGTAGAAAACCTCCTGTAAAGTATATTATGTGTACAAGTGCCATCTATAATATATTTTTCTAGTTAAATAGAACGCTTATGTCTTGTGACTTAGACATTGTATACAGTATTCTGTCGTAAATATACAAGTATTATATACAAAAGGACCCTCAGGATTGCTTCACCCACGCCTCCTGTCCCCTCCATTGAAACAAAACAAAAAATTAACAATTTATTAATTAGAATACAACTTGATGGTGCCATCAGCCCCGGAGGAAAACACCCACGGTTGCAAGGGGTGAAAATGTACCCCAAAAATCCCAAAATCATTATTCGTTTCATGGTCCTGAAGTCTCTTCAACGGCACAATTAATGGATTTTTCAACAAGTCGTTGTAAACCATCCCGTGACAAATAATCAAGCTTTTATCATCAGACCCGGACGCAAATAGTGGATACCTCCGATGGAATGCAACCCCTCGAACCGCAGTCCCATGCAGTCTCAAAGTCTGGTACGGCTTAGTGCTCAAATCCAAGTCAAACCACAACATTTTTCGATCATATGTCCCCACGAGAAGATTATCACCCCCCGGATGTATAGCCATGGTGGAAATCCACTTCGAATTCGTCAATAATTTCTTCATCAAGTTTTGTTTAACCAAATCGTAGATGCGTACATGTCGTTGTGTGGCCACAAAGAGACAGGGTTTAGTCGGATGGAATAAAACACACTGGACTAAACCTTTGGATTTAGTGAAGGGTATTTGTGACCTTCGCCGACTTATCTGACTGATTAAAACCGAGCGATTGAGACCGTCGGGCATCACAGTGGCGAAATAATCCCCCTTGCCGTGCCACGTGACTTGTGACACTTCCTTGAAATGTTTCAGGATGATTCTGACACCTTGTTTGTACTCTTTATTGTCAATTGAGTCGCACCATTCGACGGTTGTTTTGATTCGTTCGCTGACAATTGCGTCGCTTTGGGGGGCGGTTTCGAGGACCGAGTCCGTTTTGGAGCAGATGAGAGTGTCCCCAAGGTGGGGGTTGATGAGCAAGACGCGATTTGCGGACGCTACGAGGATGAGGGAAAGAGCGGAGTTGGGGCACCACTCAACAGAGCGCACCACTCCACCAGTCTCAATAGTTTTGAGGCAACGCCCTGTATTAACTTCCCATAGTTTGATGGTACCATCATCGGAACCACTCACTAGGTATTGCCCCACTTTATCGGTGCTTATAGTGCGGACCATGTCCCCATGTCCTTTGTATTCAATAGAGAGGGTGGTGGGGAACGGTTGGAGGTCTTTAGGACTCGGGAGTTTGGGGACAAGTGCTTCGGGTTCGATGTTTAGTTTCATTTTAATCCCTCTGGGGCACAAATACAAGTCCAAACATCGCAAAAATCTCTCTTTGATGTAGCGAGGATACGCTGGAACTTGTCTCAAAGAGTTGTATTTCTGCGGTACGAAGTGTAGTTTTCGTTTCCAGGGGGCGTTCTTGTGCTTATTCCATTGTTTGAGTTCCTTTTCATCGAATAAGTATTCCGGTGGGGGGTTATAAGACTCGGCATGGCCCGGTAGGAGGCGTTTCGGGGCCGCAATATGCTTATGAATGCGTCTCATGTCCTCGGCTTGGTCATCAGTGGCCCACAACATGTAAAACTCTGGTTCTTTCTTCGCTCTGAGTTTCTCAGCTTCGGCTCGTGTCTTAATCCAGCCCATTTTCAAGGCGTGCACCAGTTTGGAGACTTTTTTCGCGTCGCTTTTGCTCGGTAGAAATGATCGTTTGTGTTCGGGGAATTTCCTGAGTGGGGTTTTCATCACCTCCGATGTGAACCATTCGATCCAAGGGGCGTATTCGTCGAAGGTTGAGTCTGGTATTTTATTCGCTTTGATTCTTTTAATGAGTGAGATGTCGGCGTCGGAGAGGATGACGTTCTGGCCGGTTTGGGGGTCTTTAACAGTGCGCCAGAAATCGGGATCTTCCATACGTTTCAGGAAGGTGTCGAGGAGGTCACCCGATTCTGGTTTGATTATTTGGTTGCCGTCCCAGTCGTAGCCGAGGTGTTTGTAGTCGTCGTACCAGTTCATGGGGATGTTCCCCACGGTGTTGCGGATGTCTTCTTCGTCGGAGGTGTCGTGCGAGGAGTACTCGTCGTCGGGGGGCGCGCTGGAGACGGTTTCTTCGTCAACATCGCTGGATTCGTTTTCCTCCTCCTCCTCTTCGTCACTTTCTTCCTCCTCTTCTTCGTCACTTTCTTCCTCTTCCTCCTCTACGTCACTTTCTTCTTCTTCGTCGCTTTCTTCAATTTCACCATCGGAGTCTGAGCTGTCGGCCTCTTCGCCATTTACAACATTCAAAAGTTCCTCCTGAAATTTTTTTCGCGTTATTAACGGTTTAATGCGTAAATAATTATCAGATAATTTATTAATTATTAAAAATTTAACGCCTAAAGTGGGGGAAATAGTGCTATAATTCGAAAATCCCAAGCCCCCTTCGAACATACAAGTCGGTTAAACTAACCTCATTTTCCTCAGATTCGCCACCAGAATCCGGTTCATCGTTTTCCTCGGCCGGTTTTTCTAATTTTCTTTTTAAAAACTGCTCCTTTTGACCCATTTTTTCGTTTTGTTTATCTACCCCACATGCTAAAAAAGCTAGGTTAGGAGAGCACGCGTTGACATGTCACCAGAATCGCCAACCTCCTGTCTCAACATTACGAATTCCCAATTTTTTTAACCAAATTTTATGAATTGTAATTTAATTATTACTAATTATTAATTACTAAACCAAACAAAACAAATAGGGATGAAGAACAAAACAAAAATATTTTTTTATTAAACGCACTTTGAAATTTTAGTAGAGGTCATAGAAACCAAGAAGGATATCGATGGAAGAGATGCGCAGAGACGAAAGCTGGTCGCGGACGAATCCATTCGTAAATATAGGGGAGATCTGAGATCAGCTGAGAGCAGTGGCGTGTATTCGCACTTATTTATTTGAACAAAACAAATAATCCATATACTGTAATGAAAATATTTTGATTTTATTACTTTATTACTAAATAACATTTTTAAGGCATTTGTTCTTTTATAAATTGCAATCCTCAGTTTAGTTTTGGCGTCGATTTTCCGAAACAATAATGTCAGCAATACGTATTTTAATATAGGTTCAATAAATTATTTTGATTTGTTGTCATTTTTTCTCTAGCTGCCAGGATAAAAACTACAAAAACCGAAAGAGAGGTTAGTTGCTTAAGGTCCGTTTTACATTTTTATGTCAGTCAAATGACAAATTGTCCAAAATTCCGTGTCCCCCAGTGTATTAAAATTCTTACATGTTATTGATTAGGTATGAAATCAAAACATCACTAAAAAATGTTTAATACACCTACTTATTAACAGGGGCATCTTATAAATATTAACTTTGAAAAATTAATTATGATACAAATATTGTTTTTTAATATGTTTATATTTTCAATAAACGAATCTATTCGTTACTTTTTGTTCGTCTTTTATTTATACAGAAATTAATATCACCGTATATTTGAAATAATCGTGGAGCATCGTATGAATTTTTTATATTTAAAATCTCAGTCAATGAATGTACAAAAAAAAATGCAACTCTACAATTTTCTTTTTATCACAGAATAGTTCTGTGTTACGCCACTGCTCAAGTTTCCCCACTACACCGAGTACGCATTGGCTCCGCCTATCGATATCCTTCTTGGTTTCTATGAGCCTTAACTTTTTTGTGGTGGTGGTGGGACCCAAAGGCGCAATTTTCAAAAAAACAACTCGGTTTTTGAAACTTTTATTTTTACAAACTTAAAAACATTCCAAGTTAATTAATTACACCACGGGTAGTCGCTGGACTTGTACTCAGTCAGCGGCAGGTCGTACATAAAGGGGAACAACTTAGTATTTTTTCCGTTGAGACAAGTCTCGATTTCGAAATATTCCTCGTCGAAAAACTTTGGGAGAAACATGACTCCCGCCTCGTAACTCCTCACATAGGCCCCTTTATCTTTCTGTAAGTTTCCACCCCACGCCGACTTTGATAAATTGGCACTGGTGATAAGAAACCAAGCCAACTTGGTCAAACATGGTGACACACGACAGTAGGTTTTAATATGGGGCATTGCGCGACTCCGCCCCAGTTTATCAGCTTTCCATTGACTGTAAAAAATAATTAACACTGAAAAAATATATGAAAAAACACTTACTGTAAGTAACTTTGCAACCAGCGCTGTTTCTCATTGGTTTGTTTCGAGTAGGGCAAACAGCCCCCACTTTCGGGCCCAAAATACCCATTCATGACATTATCAACAGTCGGGAAAATAATACTAAGAGTTGCGTTCGAATTCGAGACAAGTTGGGTTTGTTTATGACCGGCGAGACTCCTCAAAATTGTGCTTCTGAGCCACTCAGCCGGGGATTTCCCCAATGAGCCGATACTGGATGCTTGGGCGATGATCCCCCACGAGAGGGGCCCCTCACTGTCCGGCCCTGTCTTCACAGGGAGACTACAATGTTTCGATAGTAAATCACCAACGTGGTGCACGTGACTCCCTTGCGATTCCGGGTAGTGTTTCCCCGGAACTGAAGTCACAAGAAACACACGAATGGCACTAAAATCGGCCTTTTTGACATAATCAATCCATGGTTTTAAAACTGGTAAATTGTAGTGTTTCAGGTAGTTTAGAAGACTCGCTTTGAAGCCAGTAGGGGATTCACCGGATTTTTCAGAGGCGGGTTCCGGGAGTTGGGGACAAGGGGGACTCAACCAAAGCCTGGAATCTGTTATTAGGTACGTATTTAGTGTTAGGGGGTTGGTACCCTTGATTGTAATGGTTCCAGTCCTCATAATAAAGATTAGCCGTGGAGATAACAACACGAAGGGAATTGTTCTCATAAAAATAAATTCCAATTTTACTAAAAAAATCAGTTTTTTTTAAATTAATTGAAAAGTGAAACTCACGAATGGTGACACCCAAACGGGTCTTTCATTTTGACGTAATGGTGGGTAACGTTTGGTAGAAATTTCTCAATGAATTCTTTCATTTTTGGGAACTCGTCGCCGTACAAAATGGTGAGTGGTTTTTTCCTAGAATTTAATTGAGTCTTAGTGGACTTTTCGAGGCCCCCTTACCCCAAATTGCGTTCCCTGTATTGTTCCATCAACCACATGATATCAATCATGAAATTAATTTGTAATGAGCATTTTAATTCACCCAAACTGGGGCACAACAAATCTGTAAAGGTTATGGATGTCGGGTGTTTGAGAGTCTCTGCCGACTTGGGAATTGTGGTAAAAAATAGATTATAAGGGGCTGCGTTTTTCAATTTTTCGAGCATCGTCCCGGGTTCTACAGTCTTTGTATCACTTCTGGAACTAGTGCTAGGTTTCATTTCCACTTTTATCTTCAATAAGGGCCGCAAAATGTCCAATTGTTCCAAATAAACAGACTTTTCTAAAGGGAAATCTGAAGGTATTTCAATTTTCTCCATTTCGAGTAATTTTGTTACTAGAACGTTTGAAATTTGTATTGGAGGTTATAATTGGGGTGACTTACAATGCGGGTGCTCAAATTCTCTGAAATGGTGAGGGTTACGGCGGTAACATTTGGTACCATGGGGGCACACTTCATGTTTCGGTTTTTTACTAGGACCACCTGAAATCATGTAATTAGCTTATGGGGGCTAAAATGAGGTTGAAAATACCGGTATTTTCCGATTTACCCTTCAAAAATGCATCCATTACGAATTTTTATACGAGACAATGAGTGAGGTTAGAATTTTGAATGATCCTCGAAAGGAAGTAAGTTTCGACATTCCTGAAACATCGATGTAAGCTACAAAATATCGAATCTTCTACATTGAGACATAAAGTTACATTAAATTAAAACAAGTTAGTGTATTTATGTTCAATATTTTTTATTGTAGATATTGGTATAAATATAATTTGTTCTACAATATTAGTACCATTAAAAAATCACAATTATTTTGTGTGTATATTTGGTTGCCTAGTCTGACGCGCATGTTTGGTTGCCTGTAATGAGATGTTTATTAATAAAAAACATTTCATATACATGAATAAAGTCGATTAATAATCGGTTTAGAAAAAACCTTTTTATAATTTTACTTACTAAGATTCTAAACAATTATTAGTTTATTGTTTTTCTTACATCGAAATGAGTTTCGATGTTCATTTAGTTACTTTTTTGTTATGGTTGGTGATAGTTGACGTTTTTTCATATGTCATAATTGTCAACAAGAAAAAGTCAACAAGAGGTGCAATGACGACGTCCGAGCAAATTGGACTGAACAAAACATGGGAGTTGTCCCTGTACGAGCTGCACCGGACCCCCCAAGACGTCATAACCGACAACACGGAAATTGCGGTGTCCCCCCGGAGCCTCCACAGTGAGCTCATGTGCCCCATATGTCTCGACATGTTGAAAAAGACCATGACGACGAAGGAATGCCTCCACCGTTTCTGCTCCGACTGTATAATCACAGCTTTGAGGTCAGGCAACAAAGAGTGCCCCACTTGTCGCAAGAAACTTGTCTCGAAGCGGTCCCTGCGCCCCGACCCCAATTTCGACTTGCTCATCTCTAAGATTTACCCCAGTCGCGATGAATACGAGGCCCACCAGGAACGAGTTTTGGCCAAATTGAATAAAAGTCACTCGCAGGCAGCTTTAGTCAATTCCATCACAGAAGGAATTAAAATACAGTCGCAGAATCGCCCCAATCGTTCGCGGAAAAATAACGAAATCGATCGGAGTCACGGTGAAAACCCCGAAAATCCCGTGCCCCAAAATGAGAATAACACAGTTGGGGCGACTCAGCCCCCCACTGGTGTGGTGAACAACGGCAGTCCGGCCCCTTCAGGACGCAGCACTCCATCGCAGCCCCCCAGTCCCGTCTCGTCCAACGTCAGTTCGATCAGCAAGTCGATAAAGCGCCCCAAAAGCACTCTAACATCCGAACGAAGCGAGGAGAGTGAATCGAGCGAACGCACGGAGCAGACTGACACAGAGGGCGAAGGCCCGTCCGAACCCATGACTTTGAACGAAATCGAGCTGGTTTTTAAGCCACACCCCACTGAAATGTCCGGTGATAACCCCCTTGTCAAGGCTTTGAAGGAAAACTCCATCAGATATATTAAAACAACAGCAAATGCCACTGTTGATCATTTGCATAAATATCTGGCGATGAGGTTGACTCTTGATTTGGATTCGCAGCTCCCGACGACTCACAGTTTGCTTAATTTTTGTATTTATATCTCGCCAACGGCTGGACAGTATGTGCAGTTGAACGGAAATCAGACTTTGGGGCAAGTTAATGACAAGTATTGGAAGGTGAATAAGCCCTTGGAGATGTATTACTCGTGGAAGAAGACATAGGGAACGCGGAAAGGGGGCAACACGAAGGCTCCCTAAGTGGCACGATTTGTACGATGTAATATTTAATAAACAATTATTTAACGTCGTTGGGTTATTTATTTTTCATTTCCTAAATCAAAAATTACGAAGTTTCTGTAGTCATGATACTCCTAATATTACAAAAAAATCGCAAAATTTCCAATTATGAAAATGTGGAATACAGATTTGTCAACAAGAAATTACCACCTAGGATTTGAACTTTTAGGAAAATTACGTTTTTCATGTTGTTTGTAACTAGAATTTTCAGAAGTAGTTTTGTATGCCTAAGGTTGGTTACCCCTTGTTGTCGGTTGACGTTTCCTGTCAACCTGCTGTCAACTATCAATTAAATTATCCATACAACCTGACAGGTGACTTAACCTAAATTTTGATACTAGTTACGATATCTTTTGTTTGTCACCAGAAACCAACCTAACCAAATATATGGCAACCTATACACAAATATTCCTAAATCCTAGAAAGTAACCCTGGTATTTCGAAAAATTCTAAATTTTCGATTTCGGTGTAAGATATTCGATGTTTGCAACGTACATCGATATTTATTTCCTCTTTGTGAAGTCACTTTTTTAGGTTAGGAAATTAACAAACCAAAGGTTCTCAGCCAAAGTTCTCACAATTATCTGAACAATGCGAATATAATCAGAAATCAGTGATGGCACAAGTGAGTGTTTATTTCCATCATTTTGCCTCTAATTTAGTCATTTTAGGCCCCTAAATGGCTGACATTAAATTCCCAACTAAACAAATTGAAAAGTTCAATGATAGAATCGAAAATTGTCTAGAAGATGCTGCTTGTCGAAGTGTCTTAGAGTTCTACCTCAAAACAGTCATTAAAAAAACAAATTTGAATAACATTTTGAAATTATGGATCAAAGCTAACACTGCATTTGATGATGACATTTTTGATTTTATTGATGAAGTTGATGACTTTCAAGATGGGCCTCTACTGACTTTATCTGAATCACATCTAAAAGTGGCTTATGTGAAAAATGAGTGTTGTAGATTATTCAATAAGGCTAATGTCCACCAAAGGTTTATTCAATACTTGGTGGATAATCATCAGCAATAACTTTTATGTTTGTACTTAAACATCACTGTAGATATTTTGTAACAGGTGCAGCTTTTCGTGAATAAAAATGTTTTTATTTGTTTTTTCACGTCCCTCGAATTATTAAATTGTAAATCAAAAAACGTAAGAAAAAAGTGACTTTATTAATACAAAAAATGAGTACAAAAATATGACTATGAAAATGAAAAAATTAAGCCAAAAAAAATTTCCGGACGCGCCAAACATAATTTCAGCTTTGGTTGAGCGTAATCGCAATACCATTTAATCGATGGTCAATTGTCTAAAACTACCATCAAGCCCGAACAGATCTTCATAGTTGGTGGGTTTTCCGGGACGTTTCGACTCATCAGCTTTGATATTTTCCTGTTCTTTGAACCATGGAGTGTACTCTGCGAGGGTTTTCATCCATTGGTCTAGAAAAAAAAAACAATAAGAAACAAACAATTAATAGTACATTATGATACGAGTTTTATAAGAAGCATTTTGTCGCATAAAGCAGTAAGTGCGACAACATGCCTTTTAAACAAAAAAATAAAAATTTTGGAATGTAGGGAATTTTGCGGCAGTTGGCGACATTGCGTGGTGGCTATGAAATAAATTAATTTGAAACGTCATTATTTTATTAAGTACCTTTTATTTTACTTTGTCCTATGATCTAAAGGTATGCACCACTATAATCATGTTCATTCGGAATATTTTTTGCGATGATTAATTAAACCAAACAGCAAAAATTTCGTTTTTGAATAATTTCATTTGCGTTAGACCGATTGACACTGACAGTTCGATGGAAAAACGGTTAGGTCGCCAACATTATAAGACTAAATTTCCCTCTTTTTAGTATGATTTTTATAACACTGTTTTTGCTCATTACGAAACCCAAAACAGTGTCGTAATGGACCTTAGTACGAACGCAAAGTAGAAAAAAATAATTAAAAAATACATACCGTTAAAATCGGCCATTTTCCCGGCAGTCCCCCCATACTCCTCTGGAAGAATATCCTTCGGGACAAACTTGTACAACGATTCCAGATCCTGATGGATGTGGATCCTATTCCTGATTTTCTCCTTAATGAAGGGCTTAACCCAATTAATGATGGTATCGACAATCGGCGAGGCGTTGACCACGTGGACCTCCTTGAGCTTGACCGGGTAGGCTTCTTGGACGCACACCAGGAACTTCTTAACAATCGTGGGCGTGATTTTCGTGAAATGATTCATTGAAGCCACGCTAGCGTCCAGAATAAACACATCTCCCGCCACCCCCACCTCCTCGGCGGCGAGCCGAACATCCCCGATCATGAGTGCGATTTTCATAGCGTCGGCAATATTCGGCGTTTCGAAATCCTTAAGGGTGGCACGCATGATTGTGACGCGTTTCCCATCGGGGGTGAGGCCCGGCAATGGGGGCCCTTGGGCGATTTTCACGATTTCTTGCAACTCAGGCCGGGAAATGTCACGATTGGTGAAAAACTCGGGAATGGCGGCGCGCATCGTGAAGTACATGTCCAGCTTACGTTTGCACTTTTCCAAGGAAAACTTGCAACCGCGCAGGAAGGTCATGATGCGCTGCTCGTCTGTGAAAACCCGGAAATGTATAACTGGTTGCCTACCTTTAACCTTCGGACGCTACAATCTCAAACAAATCGTGAAAAACTAAACCATTTATCCGAAATTAGGTGTGAAATTATATATTCTGACTCTTCAATTTGAAAAATTCTAAATTTTTTGTAATTTTTGACGCCTCGTCCCGTATTCGGACCGACTTTGAAACATCACCTGTCAAAAACTCGAAATTGTGTGTATAACTGGTTGCCTACTTTACGCTTTTATTATCCAATAACCCGAATAGACGTAATTAACCTCAAATAAATGTTGAAAAATCTAAATCACTTTTACGAAATGAGGCGATAAGTGGCAATAAAATAACACCAATTATTTTTTTTTGCAATTTTTGTCGCATCGTTCAGTATCTGGACCGACCTTGAAACGTCACCTGTCAACTTTCTTTGTTGAAAATTTAAAAGAAAGCTCAGTTCAACAAAGTAAATCATTACATAACGTTATTTCTTCAGCAGATTATCCAATTTCATCACTCTCCTTTCTTTAATAATGTTGCGTAACCGATTTACATAACCTCACTCACCCCAAGTGTCGGGCAGATGGGGCTGTTTCTGTAGCCAATCCTTGATGGCTTGCAAATCGCTGTCTCTTGTGTTGACATCTTCGTTGAGTTCCTTTCTGATGTGGATTTGCAATTCGGGGCTGGGTTGGACTAGAAGGGCTGACATGTTCCTGTACAAGGGGGCACATGACGTTATTTAAAATCGTGTCAAGTTGAATTATTGATGGGCACAGATGGCCGATCAATTATTCATCGATGGGTATTTTCAGACACGTCACGTATTTCTCTCAATGCGCGCACGTTTTTGCACAATTATTGTGTGGTGTGTGCGGTTGGGGGGTACACTTTGCGCAATGTTTTTTGGGGAAACCGAATTTTTGCTCCGGTTAATGCGTTTTAGAAAGTTACGCGCCGATGGTACGATGGTAACGGTGTGCGAGTCAGCTAATTGGGGACCGGGGGGCTTGTCTTAATTATCAGGAAATTAAACAATGAAATTGAGACAATTCAATTCAGAAAGAATAGAAATGTGCTCTTTTCCGCATTTTTCTAAAAATTATTAAACGTTTCCTTATTAGCTATAATTAAAATTGTGGATTATTAGTAGTAAAAATGGCGGAAGAAGCCATTTTTATTTCAAAAAACTCATCTAAATGTTGTTTCAAATCGTTAGAAATTTTCATCAAGAATATGGAAAAAAACTTGTTTTTTATTTGACGTCAGATTTAAAAAAAGTTAATAAAGCAATTTCAAGATGGTGATAACGCCATATTTGAAAAAAAGTACCTGATAGATATAATACTTATGCATATTTTTAATAGGTGTAAGTTCCTGAAACAATAAAATATTGAATATTTTTTAATAATTTTCCACTTGACAAACTGGAGTTTGTCTCAATTTGAAACTTGAACATTTTGAAAATCTTTTTCCTACATACAGGGTGTTAAAAAAAGATTGTAAAATTTTTCAGGAGGTAATAGTATGGACCAAAACAAACAAAAAAGTCTTAATAAACATGGGTCTGCAAAGTAATGGTTTCGGAGATATTGAAAATTATTCGTTTTTTGAAACATTTATTTTCAATCTGTTCAAACAAAAAAAAAAGCTTTTAGTAAAAATTTTCACATTCAATATCACCGAAATCGTTACTTTGTGGAGTCATGTTTATTAAGACTTTTTTGTTTGTTTTGGTTCATACTATGTATTACCTGCTTAAATATTTTACAATCTTTTTTTAACACTCTGTATTTAAAAAACAATATTTAAAAAATTGGTAGATATATTTCATTGTATGAAACATAGTACGTAAAACCTTTAAATTAAATTTCATTGTTTTCTAGTTCAAATAAAGAATACAAAATAAGTAAAAAACATAAACACGAAAAACTAAAAACAAAATTTTAATTTTCAAGATTTTTAACTAGTAAAAATCTTAAAATCTGGAAGAAAGGTTTTTAAATCTTATTTTAAATATAAGATAAGAGAAAATAAAATGAGAAAATAATATAAAAACATATTACAAAATGTCAAAAACACAAATATTTATTATAAATATAATAAACAACTTTATTATCAGTTTATTATTATTATTTAAATAATTACAAGTTTTGTATGCCATAACGCATTTTTTTAATTTTTGTAAAATTTTGACACTGTATTTTAAAGCCAAAATGGCGTCAAACTTAAAAAAACATGTTTTAATAAAAAACTTCGTAAGTGATTATAAAGTGAGTAAAGTATACTAAAATATTAATTTTGGTTGATTTAAGGCCAATATGGCGTCGAAATAGAAAAATATAAACAAAAACTTGTATTTCGTTACATAATAATATTCTTGTTGGTAGTATTTCCCAACTGAGAAACTGTTAAAACTTTGGTTTACTTCACTGTTTTGAGGTCAAATTTTGAAAAAGTCTAAAATCAAAATGGCCGTTCTCTATTTATCGAAAAATCTTAGTTTCCTTCACTTCCTTCATGACTCAATGTTACACCCGTCCACAAAAAACGCTCCCATTCTAACAGCCCGATGAATCACAGTTAGAATGTGACCCCGTTTATCTCTCCGCGTCTGAATTTTTAAGGTCGAAGAAAGTCCCGCCATTATGCAATAATAATCAAAGCCCACTCACCGGTTTTATTTCCGAACAAAAAAATCACAAAATTATTATTTTTTCTTTTTGAAAATTTTCAATCACTACACTTCGTGTGCGTCCAAGTCGAAGACTACGGCGAGAAAGCCGCCAAAGAACCTTTCTTATAGCAAAAGTATGTTCCAGTGCTAAGCACAGTATGGCCAATGGTCCGCTATCACGACGCGACTTAACCAATCACAAAACGATTAGAATGTCACGTGACCTGCTTTTGTACTTTCTCCGTCATATGTTTTATTAATTTCGTTAATGAGTTTTGTTAGTGTTGAGACCGTGACGGCCTGCTTGAATTTTCATGCTTTTTGTGCAGGTTTTTTCATCGAGTGGAAAATTAACGAATTGCGAAAATTTTGTCTTGCTTAATTGCGTCCAAGTGTGCTGCGACAGCACTCAACTGCGATTGTTTTGACTAATTGACGGGTTAATGGATGGAAAGTCGGACATGTGACACACCGGAAAAACAATTAAAAAATTTGCGCGCCATCTTGAAAATTCAGTTAAATTTTATTGATTTTACATTAACTGTATTTTACTGTTAAATAAAACTATAAAAAATAAGTTCAGACGTGAACCCCTTACCTGCGCCATATTGGAATTCTAAACGAAATGCAATTTTATAAAAAATTTTACCCTATCATAATCTACATCATCTAGTAAACGATATAACTAAAAATCATAAGTTTTCGATCAAAAATAGCCTTGTTATAGACAAGTTTATAAAATTCCGCCATCTTGAAGTTCTAAACTAAAACGAATTTTATCAAAATTTTTGCCCTGTCACAATCTACATCATCTAGTAAACGATATAACTTAAAATCATAAGTTTTTGATGAAAAATAGCCTTGTTATAGACAAGTTTATAAAATTCCGCCATCTTGAAGTTCTAAACTAAAACGAATTTTGAAAAAAAAAATTCACCATTATTATTTCACCTTATCCAGTAAACAATATAACCAAAAATCATCAGTTTTTAACAAAAAAAAATATACAAATTTTAAGAATTTCCCTTGTCAAATAATTTTCCATCGGTTTTTCATCGGTCCAAACACTCATCACCTCGCCTACCGCGATGTAATCGAAAACAATTTAATTTCGTCGAATTTCGTTCCCTGATCACATCAATAAGTGTCGTTCAGCGACATCATAAAAAACCTCCTGAAATTGCAAATGTTGAAGCATGCTGAAAATATCGTGAAAACTTGTTTACAGGAGAATTTCACTCGCTGTCATCTATTTAATCCGTTCGTTCATTTTTCCTCGTTAAGAAAATTCAATTAAATTTTCCCAACGTGAAATTAATTATGTCCGACATGTGTATTCGCTGATTTTTAATAAGTTTATAAATAATTCAATTGTGATTAAAATTAATTATTTCGTAAATTAAATTAGAAATCATATATAAAGTGGGGCAAGTCTAATACGTCTCATTTCGAGTATTAACGAGTCATGATATCGATAACTACTCTAAATAAATAATTAAAAGAATAAAACCCACGTTTAATCAATAATATTACAGGTGTATCGCGAGAGAAAGGATTTTATTCCAACTAATAACAATCTTGGCCAATTTTCTCATTTTTGTGGCGCAATCCCAACAAAATAATTACTAATTCGAGGAAGTTTTGTTATATCATTGTTTCTTTTATTGTTATACATTTTAAAATCTATGTACGTGCTCACCATTAATAATTTAATTAAAAAAGAGAAAAACTGTGTGTGTGTATTTGGAATAACATCGTTGCGCTACAATAAACTCACGTATTTTTAAAATGGATTTGGTTCAGTTTCTGTTATGTTCGACTTGAGCTGATGTCAGGGAAATAGGAAGAATCTTATACAATTTTGCAACAGATGGTTGATTATAATCGCAAACTGCGTACAATAAAACCAGTTTAAAACGGCAATAAACGGTTTTTTGAAGCTGCAACCGTTTAGATTGCGGAATATAATTCTCAAATTGATTTTAAAAATATAGTGGTGGAAACTTTAAAATTAATAGTTTTTTACGCCATTCGATTATTATAATATTTGGCAAAAGTACTTGTGGTCCCTAATATTTCCTCAACTGACCATAAAACGTTTTATCTACATAAACTACAATCATAATAAATACTAAACTTTATTCTTTTTTTTGCAAAAAATTATTTAGTAAGTAAGGCCCTTAAAGTAGATTTAAAATTAGTAAATGGCCCTCAAAAATACAAACATAGAATAAAATTGAATTACTAATATAAGTCATGACCCGTTAAAATTGAGGGCCAATACACCACAGATTTTAGATAACAAAAAAGTTCAGAGTAACATTTTAAGGGCCAGTAGGTAAATAATGCGTAAAATTTTAGCCTTGGCAATTTTTCACTAACTGGTCATAAAATGCGTTACCGAAACTAATTTCTTTGTTCAAAAAACACAGATTTTAAATTAATTCATACTCAAGGGCCTGTAAAAAACCTATTAAAATTAACTCTCGACGTTCAAAATATAATTTTAAGGGCGATTTGAGAAACATAAAAAAATAAAATTTGAAGTTATTTAAAATTTTAATTTTTTTTATTTACGTTTCAAAAGAGAAGGGCCATGACACAAAACAGTTCACAATATACCTACTTGTGGCTCCTAATATTTCCTCCAGTGACCATAAAACGTTTTATCTACATAAACTACAATCATAATAAATACTAAACTTTATTCTTTTTTTTTGCAAAAAATTATTTAGTAAGTAAGGTTTCTAAAGTAGATTTAAAATTGGTAAATGGCCCTCAAAAATACAATCAAACATTGTACAAGATTCAAATTGAATCACTGATAAAAGTCAAAATAAGAATTGAGGGCCAATACACAACAGATTTTAGATAACAAAAAGGTACAGAGTAACATTTTAAGGGCCATTTTAGTATTGGCCCTTTAAAGTTGCACAATTTTTCAGAAACTGGTCATAAAACGCGTTACCTAAACTAATTGTTTAGTGCAAAAAACACATATTTTAAATGAATTCATGCTGAAGGACCTGTAAAAACCCTATTAAAATTAATTCTCCACATTTAAAATATGATTTTAAGGGTGATTTGAGAAAAATAAAATAAAATAAAAATAAAACTAAATTTTAGTCTCTTTCTTTGCCAAAAAAATATTTGATAAGTAAGGCCCCTAAAGTAAATTTAAAATTGGTAAATGGCCCTCAAAAATACAGTCAAACATTGTTCAAGAATCAAGTGGAATCATTAATATAAGTCATGGTCCGTCAAAATAAGCAATGAGGGCCACTACAAAACAGATTTTATTGCAAATTTTAGATAACAAAGAAGTATACAGTAAGATTTTAAGGGTCATTGGACAAATAATTCGTAAAATTTTAGCCTTGGCCCTTTAAAGTTTACAATTTTTCAGAAACAGGTTATAACACGCGTTACCTAAACTAATTTCTTTGTTCAAAAAACACAGATTTTAAATTAATTCATACTTAAGGGTCTGTAAAAAACCTATTAAAATTCTTTCTCGACTTTCAAAATATGATTTTAAGAGCGATTTGAGAAACATAAAAAAATTAAATTATATCATTCTATTAAAGTTATGCCTTTTTAAAATTTCTTATTCACGTTTCAAAAAAAAAAGGGCCCTGCCACAAAACAATTTATAATATACCTACTTGTGGCCCCTAATATTTCCTCCACTGACCATAAAACGTTTTATCTACATAAACTACAATCATAATAAATATTAAACTTTAGTCTTTTCCTTTGCTAAAAAATTATTTAGTACGTAAGGCCCCTAAAGTAAATCTAAAATTGGCAAACGGCCCTCAAAAATACAGTCAAACATTGTAGAAGAATCAAATTGAATCATTAATATAAGTCATGGCCCATCAAAATAAGAATTGAGGGCCATTACACTACAGATGTTATTGCAAATTTTAGATAACAAAAAGGTACATAGTAAGATTTTAAGGGCCATTGGGCAAATAATGCGTAAAATTTTAGCCTTGGCCCTTTAAAGTTGCACAATTTATCAGAAACTGGTCATAAAACGCGTTATACCTACACTAATTTCTTTATTAAAGAAAACACAGATTTAAAAATTATTAATTCATACTCAATGGCCTTTAAAAAACTTATTAAAATTAATTCTCGACTTTCAAAATACGATTTTAAGGGCGATTTGAAAAACAAAAAATTAAAATTATATCATTCTATTGAAGTTAAGGTTCTTTAAAATTTTTAATTCACGTTTCAAAAAAGAAGGGCAATGCCATAAAACAATTCACAATATACTTACACTACTTATACTACTGAAATGATACGTTTAAAAATGCAAGGCCCTCATACACTAGATTAAAAAAATTGAAATTTTAGGTTTATTTGACAAACGATACAACTTTTTAACTATGGCCCTTCAAAAATCCATAGCCCTCAATTTTTTTTTTAACTGGTAATAAAATGCCTGACTTTTCTGTTCATCCAAAAATACAAATCTAAAATTTTTCAATAAGCAATGACCTATAAACAAACTAAATGCTCCTCAAAACTAGTTTTAAGGGCTATTTGCTAAATAGTGAAAAATTAAATCACAGCATTAATACAAAATGACGCCTTTTTAAACTTTGCAGTACGAGCTTTAAAATAAAAATAAAAAAAATAAAAAAAGAAATTTTTTGACATGTGTTTAATGTAACAAGAAAATTAAGAGCGTCCTAATATTGAAAATTACAAAAAAGGCAAAAATCGAAATTTGAATTGCGAAATATTTTAACATTCAAAAATTCACATACTGCTCTTTATTCTAAATTTATTTGTTAGCTCTTAAAAGTTTTAATTTTTTCATAAAAATTTTGATAATTAGGCTAAAAACAGTAGCGAAAACGGTTGAATAATTTCTGTAGATCTAGTATAGGTATACAAATCCAAAATGCAAAGGGCTTTGCTTCTAAGAATTTTTTTATTGGGTTTTTACCAGAACTCGAGCCTCAGAAAAAAGGGTCACCCCTGTTGTTTCTCATCAAAACTCGAAATAATTTAGCACAATGCTAATAAAATAGCAATTAGTTGTCTTAAATATGCCCAAAAATGAGTACTCTTGCTAAGTACCGACCTCGTCCCCATCGATCCACCCTATAACCGTATCATTAACTACCCTCTCCATTAGCGAAGAATAATAAATTAAATCAATTGATGACAAATCCCCAACCCTCATCTCATCAATATTTCAAAATCCGTCTTTTTAAATTACAGACAAGATCCCAACCAGACTTCAATCTTCCATCACGTGACAATCCATCAACCAATCCTTCTACCTCTTTCCCATCTATTGGTCCACGATTTCGGAGAGTTTTTTTCACCCCCATTCACCCTCGTACCACTTATTCCTATAAGCAGTCGAGTGCGGAGGTTCCATCTGACAACTTACTGATGTGGGTGTGAATTTCAATCATTCAAGGTTGGTAACCAAAAATCAACCATTGGTTGTAAACACGTTATCACAATACCAAAATTTAACCTGGGTTCCAGATGATGAAATTCAAGGTCACCGGCCTTGTGGCCGACCTTATGCCCAACATTCGGCTCATTCAAGCATCCGGGCATTTTATGCTGAATTATCATGCCGATAATTCAGGTGCCTTGCATACCTTAAGGTTGGGCTATTGTTGCATGCACTTGGTGTTCGTTCTAGTGCAATATGGGTAAGTCAGGTCAAGTCAAAATTTAGTCTAGGGATTTTTTTCTAGTTGCAATTTTGTTAATTTGGTATTGGAACGAGGAGATGTCAATGATTTGGCTGCAAACACCATCACGGTTCTATTTTTCACTCATTGTGTCACAAAATTTGTATATTTTGCAGTCAGATCTAAACTTTTTTACCGAACTTTAGGGATTTGGAACCAACCAAACAGTCATCCATTATTTGTGGAGTCAAATAATCGGTACCATGCAATTTCTTTGAAGAAAATGCGACGCCTACTATATATCATAATCGTGTGGACGTCTTTTAGTGCTATTGGTACCACTTTTGGTACTTTTGACAATTTTTTTAAATAATTGCTTTTAGCTTGGACTTCAATCACGTTCGTGGGTGACAGCGTCCACCACATCAAAGACCCAGAAAACGAAAATTTGACCATCACAGAACCCATTCCACGACTGCTGGTCAAGGCTTGGTACCCATGGGACGCCATGAGTGGCATGCCCTACTACTTAACCCTCGTGTTCCAAGTATGTACTTCCCCAAACACCAACGTAACTAATGAAAAATCCCCAGATTTACTACGTCTTTTTCTCACTATGCCACGCAAATCTCCTCGACAGTCTCTTCTGTTCTTGGTTGATTTTCGCTTGTGAACAATTGCAACACTTGAAAGAAATCATGAAACCCTTGATGGAACTCTCCGCAACGCTTGACACTTACGTCCCGAAGAGTGCCGACCTTTTCCGAGCACCGAGCGCCACCTCTCAAGACAATCTCATCGAAAATGGTACCAACCTAATAAAAATTTCATTCCTAATTGCTCGATTCCAGATTACAATGAGAAAAACGACGACCTTAAAGGGGTCTATAGCACTCGGCAGGAACTCGGCGGCCATTTTCGGGGCGGGGCTTTGCAGAATTTCGGTAGTGGGGGTGTGGGACCAAATGGTTTGACGAAAAAACAAGAACTGATGGTCAGGTCGGCGATTAAATACTGGGTAGAAAGGCACAAACACGTCGTCAGGTATATCCAAATTGAATCAAGTAACTTAGTTATTTTTGTTTTTTTAGGTTGGTGACGGCTATTGGTGATGCTTATGGTGTGGCACTACTGCTCCACATGTTGACTTCTACGATTATGTTGACACTTTTGGCGTATCAGGCCACCAAAATAACAGGGGTGGACAAATACGCCGCTACTGTTCTAGGATATCTTCTTTTTGCTTTAGCTCAAGTGTTTCATTTTTGTATTTTCGGAAATCGTCTCATTGAAGAAAGTTCTTCAGTGATGGAGGCGGCCTACAGCTGTCATTGGTATGATGGATCAGAGGAGGCCAAGACTTTCGTCCAAATCGTCTGTCAACAATGTCAAAAAGCAATGTCTATTTCCGGTGCTAAATTCTTCACAATTTCGTTAGATTTGTTCGCTTCGGTGAGTGAAAATCCCTAGATTTGGTGATTTTTATCAACTGTCGTGTCGATAGGTACTGGGTGCTGTCGTAACCTACTTCATGGTGTTGGTACAATTGAAATGAAGGGTAATTCGTTGCGTACGGTTGGTAGTTCCTTAATTTCTGCACGTGACGTTTTAAAAATTGTGATAATTAGACGGCACCGATTTTTCAAGTTACACTAAGCATTCATAAGTGTCTTATTTCAAGATGGCGAGTACCTGAACAAATGGCGGTGACAAGGGGAAATACAATAACGCTCTAGATTTAGTTACTTCTATTTTAACTAAATAAAGTTTACCCAAGTATTTCGGTTTTTTTATTGGGCCAACCTTTGCGTTATCTCCTTGCGGGGGTGAAATCGATCGTCGCCCGGGGAAATTCGAGCGCCATCTTGCGCCAATTTCCACACAACAATGTCTTAGTAAATAATAAATCGCGGAAAAACAAGTCCGGTCCTGTGTCGGGTCGCTCGTAAAGCCGGTCCTGCTCAATTATTTTCCGGCGGTTTGACAATCAAGTGGCCCGGTCACAGGTGAGTCGATTTCTTGGCTGTTTCTCCTTTTATTCGCTTAAAAAGCCGTTTCTATTCAATTTTTAAAGAGGGAAATTATATCTCAAGAACGCTACATTTCAAACATGAAAGGTATTTAACTTAACTTTGATAATTTCGTCGGAATTCAAGCACGCGGAGATTTTTCCGAGGGTTTTCTTCGCGAATCGATAAAAATAAACGGCGAGAGAGGGTCTCGAGGACGCACCTTTTATCCCTTTTAGTGGCAGTTTTCGATTGTATTGTTTCGATATCGTAAACAGATGGATAAAGAACAAAGTAAATAAAAGGAAGTGAAGAGAATTGATATTTAGAATTTTGCGCCGCTCTCTATTGAGAGAGATGCTCGGAAGAGATTTAAAGTGGCGTTTTGTGTTCTTCGAGAGAAAGTTTTAAGTGGATAGTTTGCTCAAAAGACTACCAGTGATCGATGAAGCAATCGTTTCTCAACGCTAGACGAGTTTTATTTGAAAAGAAATCGCCCAATATAGGAAAATGCCGGAAATGTATTGTTGGTTGCATACCTTAATTTAAATTAAGCTATTGAATGAAATAAGCACGGAACATGTTGCCAACATAATTTCAAAACTACAGCCGACTATGTGCAAATGTGTTGATGTTCTGCAATTTTTTTGTTATTTTTAATCCAATCAGAGAATTATTCTTTCACATCACAAAAATACATATACGAACTGTTACAAAAGACTGTGTGTCTTGAATAGTTTCATCAACTCTTGTCAGTTATATGTCAAATTTATCAATGTTCTGACATTTCATTAAACTTAACAATCTATTAAAGACATACTTTTAGTTTCACAACACTGGATTTTTTAACATTATAATTATAAATGTTTTTAACACAGGTTGTCTCATCTAAAATTTCTGAAATTACTTAGAATTTAAAACAAAGAATAAATCAAAATATATGATTGCTTTTTAATATAGGTATTATGGGATAATTACTTTAGTCATTTTTATGGATTATGCATTTAATTAAAATAATCATAGAAGGTAATCATACTTGTTGGTTGACTCATCGTCTAGATCTTCAATTTCAAGTCCCAAGATCGTCAAAAGTTCGTAACCAAGGTCGCAACAATAAATTTGTTTCGAATTATGTTGAAATTGTAACAAATCACAGTAATTTCGCGGTTGACACAACTTTTTCTCCTCTCAATCAGAATTAATCCCAAAAATTTTTATAACCCAAATAAACGATTTTATAAAAAACGTCATTTTTTGGTCAATTTCGGTGTTAAAATCGCAAGAAGGGGAAAGTGGGCTTGGTTTAAAAAATTGTTCATTGTAAATTATTTCACTTGGTAAAGGGTTAGAGTCAGGTCGATAAATAATAATAGTTGGATTGCAAGCCATTGAAAATTCTAAAAAATATATTTTAAACTAATAAAAATCTAAAAAAACTTACTTATTGGTGTTAAGAAAATGAAAAAAATGTTGCAGAAAGGAAACATTTTTAATTAAATTACATTTAATTGCACAAGTTGGACTACATTTATATGCAAAATTTTCTAATCTAATCAGTGCATTGTACATATTGTCCACAAAATTTAAAATGATTCATTGTTACAACAAGTTATAAATTTAAAGCTCTTAAAAAGGTATTAAAAAGCAGATGTTTATTTTGAAACAAATAAAAATAGATAATGCCTCTCCTATAACGTCGTCGAACAATTATTTGTACTATTCATTTAAATAAAAAAACAATACAACTAAATGTTTTTTATTGAAGCACCTATTTCCTATACAGGGGGTATACATGGGGATCTCAGTTATTATAAGAGAAACGAGGTCGGTTAAATTAGGGAAAAGTTGCGCATTTTTATGCTGAACAATAATCTGAAGAAAATTTATTGTGTTATTTTTAGTTTTTGAATTATTGGAAAAAAACACGGAAATTTGTGATTTTCTTTTTCATTTTTTCAAGCAAAAACTAAAAGACTTAGACGTTTTTAACTTGGACGTTCTTAAAGCACTTTTTTACAAGGAATCTAAATCTGTCATCGTATTTTCCAAGGCATCTTTTATAACTTGTGTTGTTTTGTTTTGCGAAGAATAAGTTCTAGTTTATCACGTTGTTCCTATTTCAAAAACTTTGTTTTTAAGTAGGTAAGCTTGACGCAAATGTCAGATCCAGATCCAAATTCAATTAAACTGCCAAAATTAAGTTTGTTAATTGAAATTGGTGGCATTTTTTCCAAAGCACTCTTTGCAAAAATGCTTTTTCTTAATTTTAATCACCATGTAAAATTTAATCATATCGTTGTAATCAGAAACAAAAAGACTTTTCAAAAATACATAAATCAAATATGGCGTCCATAAGGAAATCCAAAGTTGAGTGTTGTAACTCTGATATCAAGAGCGCCTTGGAAAATACGATGACAGATTTAGATTCCTTGGAAAAAAGTGCCTTAAGAAAGTCCTAGTTCAAAACGTCTAGGTTTTTTAGTTTTTGCTTGTAAAAATAAAAACAAAAACTACAAATTTTCGTTTTTTTGCAATAATTCAAAAATTGACACAATAAATTTTCTTCCAGATTATTGTTCAGCATAAAAATGCGCAACTTTTTTTTTGCCCGACCTCTTATAATAACTGAGATCCCCATGGTGGAGCACGAAAAACAAACACCCTGTATACTCTAAATTTAGTAAAATAATAATAAATAATTAATACTGAACAATGTAATCTTAGTTGAGACACTATGTATGTCAATGTTACGTCGCGAAAACCTTCAAAATTTACTTTTCTAGTATAAAAGAATTAAACCAAAGCATTAACCCGAAGGGATATTTCTTTTACACAAAATTAAAGCTTCGTTGGGACACTCTGTAGATCAGTGTTAAAAATGTGTAAAATCACGCGTTGACGGGTTAAAGTGCTCTACGACGAGTGGTTTTCGAGATATCGAGTTATTTTGAGCGTTTCTGGGCACTAACCTTGAAATAATATATCAATTTTTTGAATGTTTGGAATAAATCACGCGCCCTGGAGTCAACAAAATTAAATGTAAAATCGTCTGGAGAATCTGACTTTTTGGAACCTCTGTTAGGAAAACACATTTAAAGTTTGTAAAAATGAAACTATAATTCCAAATACTTTTTTTTATTATGTGGTTTTAGTTGTTAGTTAAGGTCTTTAGTCAAATCTTTTTCTTCTAATCCTAGTTTCCCCATAAGGTCGTCATTCAACTTGCAACAATAGATTTTTTTATTTTGGACTTGCAAGAATTTACAGAAATTAAGCGGTTGACACAATCTCTCTTCACTTGTGTTGTTATAATTAAACCCAATATAAACCACGGGCTCAGGAAGTACGATTTTATAAAAATATTTAGGAATATTTATTAAATTGTGCGAAGAATTCAAATTTCTAGAACCGACAGTTCCTGTAATAACATATTGTGGTGGATCTGGGGTTGTTTGGTCTCTCACACCTTGTTCTAAATTCCTCCAAATTCCCTTATTGAATGATGACCATTGCGGTGCTGCATTTATATAAAAAAAGGTCATACTTCGGTCAATTTCTGTGTTGAAATCGCACCTAGGAGCGAGATGACCCTTATCATAAGTCTCTCCTTCATAATTTCGAATCGTTTTATAAAAAAGGTCGACATCTCCTTGAAGATTATCAGTTTTCCACGACGGTTTTGAAGCCTTCTCTGGGCATGATTTATACTCTTTTTCAATTTTGTGTTTTGCCCAGTAAGTTTTCTGTAGTGGCATTGTATTTTTCACACATACAATAATTTTTTTTGTAAATGAGGTGCCATAACAAATGTTGATAGTCTCGATTCCTATTGCAATTTTTTCACCTTTTCCATTATTACAAGTAGCAGAAAGAGGTTTTGTGACAGGTTTTTCAGATTGCAATTTACGGGCAATCGGACATAAATTTGTATTGCAACCGATTGAAAAATCTTGAAAAAAAAAACAATTTCATTAAAAGAAATTAATAAAAATTACAGAAACGTACCCAATGTTAAAAAAATGAAAAAAATGACACAAAAAAGGGACATTTTAGTTACATCAAAAACTGCACAAGTTGAAGTTTTAATTCAAACTGAAATAGATGCGTTTATAAGAGAGCTTTATACAAATTTTAACAAGGAAAATGTACTTAAAGAATAATTCATTTTCACAATAAGTTATAAATTATAACAAAGAGACATGTTAAAAAACAGATTTATTATTATTTTTAGCTAAATAAACTGTGAAATAAATTTAATTTTTTTGTAACAATAAACATAATAAATACCCAAATCTTTAGTAAGACAGAAAACTGTTATTAAATAGTCATAAAAGTGGTCACTTTTGTGATGTTTGCGGATAATATTAATTGGGTTGAGGTTAGAAAATCCAGAAAAGCTAATTTAATTTCCAATCGATTTCTCGGAACATTTTACATACATACAGGGTGTTCCACAGAGTTGAAAAAGTCCATTAGTGACCTTTAAAGAGTAAAATTAAAAAAAATATATAGCACATTGATAGATACTAATCTAGTCCATCGCTTAAAATTATTTTCAACTATACAGCGTGTCTCAAAAATAAGTTACAATACGACTTGTGTTTTTTTAAATGAAACACCATATGTTTCTTAACGTTTTTGGATGTAGATTTTTTTATGACAATGTTTTTAAGCTAAACTTTTTATTGGTTAATTTTGCTTAGTTTTAAAAATAAGACGGTCTTTTTGGAGAAAACATGCACTTTTTAAAAATTTATTACACAAAAACTAAGACGTCTAGAAATATTTTTTTAACACCGCAAAGAAGAAGGTACAAGCAATAAGGTTGTAACATTTTTTTAGTGTGTTGCATCTGCAAAGATAAAAAAATGAAGTTAAAAGTTAAAAGTTCAAGAACTTAAAAAATTTAAATATAACACCCTATTTATTGTTTTTGAATTTAAAAGATTATTAAATTGTCTTTCTAAAATTATTTACTCTTAGATGTTTATAATCAATAACTAAAAAGATATTTAACGTTAAACATTAAAAAAAGACTATTGTTTCAGTAGCCAAAAAGTGCACAGTTGCACAAGAAATTGAAGAAATATCACTTAATAATCACATTTGTGTTAAACTGAATCCATTATTCTTTATTTTTATAATAAAATAATTTGAATTTCAGTATTTATAACGACTTTTAAAATCTCAATCTCTTTTACAATATTGATCGGCATTGTTGCTACAATTAATATTGAATGTTAACTATCTTTTCATTTATACATTAAAAGTTTATTTTTTAGATAGACAATCTATTAGATGCAAAATTAAAAAATAGTGTTTCATTATTTTTTTTTTAAGTTATTTATATCTTAACAAACTTCTTAATTTATTAATCTTTATAAATGCAAAACACTAAAAAATTGACACAGCTTTAAGTTCTGTACTTTCTTCTTTGCAGAAATAAGAAAAAAATTATTCTAGCTGTCTTAGTTTTTGTGTAATAAATTTTTAAAAAGTGCATGTTTTTGTCAAAAAAACGTCTTATTTCTAAAACTAAGCGAAGTCGACTGATAAAAGTTTAGCGTAAAAACATTGTCATAAAAATCTACATCTACATCCAAAAAAAAAACATATGGTGTTTCATTAAAAAAAAAACACAAGTTTGTATCGTAACTTATTTTTGGGACATACTGTATGATTGAAAATAATTTTAGGTGATGCACTAGATTACTATCTATCAATGTCCTATACAATTTTTTATAAATATTAGTATTTAAAGGTCACTAATGGACTTGGAGAAAGAATTTTTAAGATTTAAAAGATGGAAAATTAATTTCTTTGAAACATCCTGTATACGTGATAAAAATTTACAGTTTTATAGCAGTGAACAAACTACAGACAACACGAATAAAATTGCGACGTTTTGTTTTTATTTTACCCATTTTTTGCTGTTTTAATTACTCCGAAGCCAAACTTTACGAGCAAAATCCCGAAAAAAAACGCATTTTCTCTTTGTAATTTTTGCAAAAGCGCCCCTCCACTAATACCCTCCCCAGTCGCAAACTTCCTTCCGCCTCCCTCCCCCAATTTCAGGTCTTTTGCGAACGTTTCAGCTTTCAGTAGCGTCCCGATCGTCAACGCTTCAACCCCCATTTGTCACTTGTTGGAAAATCACACGAATACTCGCCACAAACTTTCCAAATAACTCACCGTCACGAGTCTCGAGAGTCTTACAACTTCTTAAATGCGGAAAAAGTTACGATCGCTTGTAAATAATCGCGAATCGAGTGATTTATGAAGTGATTTTTTTATTTACATTATATGAAAAAAAATTAGACAAAGTGGCTGAAACGGCGAGCACCGATGACACAACCGCAATCACACCGAATTCCAAACGGCATTTGGGTGAGAGAAAAAATCTATTATTCATCTCGGGAGAAACTAATTAATACACAGGGATGTAATGAATTAACCGAGTAGGGAGTTTGAGAAGTTGCGTTGACGCGAGTTTATGCATTATTTAGGGGATAAGTGAGCCCGATATGGGGATTACAAACTTAGAAAGTCAATTACAAGTATGCAACCCCTCATACAAGCTTCAATAATTAAAAAAAAACGAAAAGAAGACTTGAAGAGTGATGCGTGTCATTAAAGTTTCACTAATTACGAGAAACTTTTTTGCGAAAATCAATTAATTTAATTAAATCGAACTGAAAACACTATGTTTTCAGGCAAAATGTTTAAAAATCAGTTTTTTGAAACCTTTAATTAACTTGAAAGCCCCTCAGTGTGTCATTACCGTTTTGTTTTTTTCCCTCAAAGTGCTTCTTTGAAATGTAGACAAAAGTTATTCAAGTACTAAAAACTCTAGTTAATTAATTTATTGGGTGAATTTCGCCATAATTAGGCTTCTCTCGGGTGTTGATTAAGCCCCAAGAGCTGGAATAACGAATTTTGCAGTAATTAATACACCCTTTGGACCAATTAAGTGATAAATCAATTATCAAATGTGTACGCAACTAAAAATTAATTAGGGAAATTCCGGTTTTCTTGCGTTTTAATTAACAATGAGTTCCCGAATCTCCGGATGAATTTTTCATTGGATGTATCAAAAGTTGTTTTCCGGAATCAGCGAAAAATGTGGAAAACTTTTTCAATATATCGCTTTTGACGGTTTATGAAGTGGCCAACCACTCCATATTTCATGACACGGCTTTTTCGTGAGCGCTTTTCAAAATCGTAGAGATTTGCATGAAGTGATTAGGCAACACAATATACAATTTTTAAATAAATATACAACTCTTGATTTAATTAAAGCGTGAAGGGAGCTTGAATAATGAATTCTTCCTTCATTAACGAAATATTCCAACAAGTCGTTAAATGTAGGCAACCAAGATTACACATGCAGAGAGTTTCCTCGTTATCGTTTTCCGGAGGATGGGATTTTCATTTTCCCTCGCATACTTGACAAACAAGCTAGATTAAGTTTCATTGTTTTACTTTGGTAACTAGACTGTGAATTATTTTAAAGATTTGAACGCCTGTTTTGCGCTTTTAAAACGGATTAGGACTTGATTGGGGATTATTTTAATCCCACTTTATTGATTAGATAAAACGATGGTGGCTGGATTTATGCGATGGACTTAGGGGAAGGTCGATCCCGTTCTAAATCATAAGAGATTTACCTTGTCGGAAAATTATTCTTATTACGACACATTAATCTTTTGTTTCTTGGAGTTACGAGGGGAGGATAAAAAGAAAAATTCATTTATTTATTTCGTTTATTTTTATTGGTTAAAAAATTACTTATAAGTACGAATGACGTCTTTAATCTCCGCCCTACAAATCGGGCATTGGCCATTCCCCGCCCCCTGCTTCTGCTGCATAGCACACTGATAACACATACACATATGTCCGCACTTGTACAACACCGAATTGATTTCTTTGTGGCAGCACACATTACACAACTCCTCCTCATTGATATACTCCTCTTCAAACTCCTCCTGAAACTCCGCCCCTTCTGTCACCACTTCCACCGTTGTCGACACCCCATCAATATCCAGAATGGCCCACAACGGCACGCCCACTTTCACTCTCTTGTAAAACGAATCAATTTCTTGATCATCAATTCCGAAATGGACGTGTCCATCTCTGGTGACGTAATAGAACAGGACCGTATTTTCCACACACATATTTTTGAACAAGGGCCATATCCAGTAGCAGCCCGATTTGAAAACGTCAAGATAGGAGTAGTGGAGGTCGTCAGAGAGGGAGGAGGGATTTTTGGAGGTGAAACCGAAACAGACGGTACTGGAAAGTTGAGGGGAGATTTTCAAAAGTTTAATGGAGACTTTTTCGTTGATTTTGACAGGGCGACTGCTGAAAACGAGGCCTTTACCGTAGCCGGGGAGGCGACGAGCGACCTGCTGGTTGCCCGAAAGGCAAATGTTGGCACCGTGGATGGAGTGGAACCGGAACTGGGCCAAAAAAGCAAAAATAAACATTTTGTGTATTGTTGGTTGCCTAACATTTAACAAAAAAATTTCAAATAAGTCAAAAACTGCCAATTATTTTTTCGTCTTCGTGTTTGATATTGCGTGCTTATCTTTGTTTGTTTTTATCCCAGACGACTTGATGTTGCAACAATGAGAAAAAACGCGTCAAACAAAGAAACATCTCAAGGTCAATGTACCAAAAATAACAAGAAAAGGAAAGCGGAAGTGGAGACAAATGCAAAATTTGACATTTTATTTGACGCAAATAAGTTATCAAGGTTCAATTTTTCTTACCTCAAGCATAGCATTGATCTAGTTGCATATAGAAAAATTTGGAAAAATAAAATAGAAAAATTGTCACATCTTTTATTAAAATATACAGTGTGATTCATAGTCTAATGTCTTAAAAAATCTATCACAAAGTTGGCTATAAATTACCAACGCACTAAAAAAACCTAAAAATATTTTGAAAAAACAATCACATGCCGGTGGGGCTCTTATCTTATCACCAATCAACCTATAATTCAATTGTTTCATTTTCAAGGTCTTTCTTACCTCGGCCATAATTCGTCTCAAATCACTTATTAATTCTTATCACATCCCTTATCACAGCCCTACATAAGGGACAATGCCCGTCCCCCTTGCCCTGCCACTGTTCCACGGCACACTCGAAACACATGCACGTATGTCCGCACCTGTACAGAGCCGCTTCGATGACGTTATCATAGCACACTACGCACTCTTTCTCCTCGACCTTGCTTTGTTCCGCACAAGTCGACAAATGAATGTCTTGACAACTACCGTAAACATTAACAAAAAGGTACAGTTTCAAGGTCGCATCAACATGAACCACTCCTTTAAATTTGCCGCCGTTGAGATGAAACGTGATTGGTCCATTATGCGCCAACTCCAGTCCGATTTCATCCCCACAATTCAAATTGGAGAAATCACAGATCAGTACCCAATATTCGGGCCTATCAGCGAGCGAATTGACATTATCGGGGAGGTCGTCATGAGATAAATGGGCGGGATCGCACGATGTCACGCCCAAATGGACAAACCCTTGAAACCTACCCCTGCCATTGGGCGAAATATGAATCACTATACTTTCGTTAGTTTTAATTGGTTGATTCGAGAAAATGTACCCTTGAGTATATTTCGAGTCGAGCCTTTGGGCCACATTTTTAACAATTCGGACGTTTTGGCTGTGCGTTTCGTGTAACATCATCGGGATTAATTTCCTATTGGTTCGTGACTTAGGTCGTGATACTCTTGACTCCGCCTCGATTAATCTAATGCCACTTGAATTCCCAAAAATGTCAAATAAAGGCCAAAGAGGTTGGTTGATACGCACCACGCCCTCAAACACGCCTTTCTCCACCCCATCCACCCCATAGTGCACATCCCCGCCCTCCCCAACGTAAAAAAACAAACTACTTCGTGTACACAAATCTTTGGGGAAAAACCACGACCAAAATCCCGAACCTTTGGCCAAATGTTGACAAGTGACCCCTTGTAGATTCTCAGGGTCACGTGACGTGAACCCTACATAAACAAAACCACCCAACCCCTCCGCCACCTCCATCAATTTGAATGTGACTTTTTCGTTGATTCTAATTGGTCGATTTGCAAAGACCAACCCTCTTGTGAAAAACGTAGTATTGACACGACGTGCAATTGTTCCGTCATGGGTCACTCTGATGTTTTGAAGACGATCGGCGCGGAAACGCAAAGCCGACTCGATCGACGACGACTAAAGTGTTAATCGAGTTAGCCGAGTAAAAAACAATTAAACGATACTTACCGTTGACATTATTACGACTGTCACTTATCATATGATAAGTGCGCAACGGCGGAACCGGCCGACTAGATTATTGTTAAATTTCGTCTAATTTTGTTAAGAAGAGTGGGGGAGGGAAGGTCGTTTGCTCTCGTCTCGGCCGGCTTGATTTTTTAACAAAAGAACACGTTTCAAGATGCGGTCATTCACCAAATATCACTAATGTGTGAAAAAACGGTTCTTAACAACCTTCAAAGGTCATTGCACCGCCCTAATTGAGGGGTTGAATTGGAACTCCGCCCTTCAAACAAACCCCGCCTCTAGGGATGTTTTTTACGGCTTGTGTAAAGTTTTAATTGTCGGTGTGGGGCGTCAAAGTCAGCTTATTTTTAATTTTGGGAGTTATTAAAGTTGCGAGAAAAGTTAGGGATTATAAATTTCGGTGAAGTATTGCCGATTATAAGTTTGACGTTTTGCGTGAACATAACAATGAAATGGCGTGGGAATTGGACAAGAAAGAAATAAAATATTTAAAACGTAAAACTTTTATTTGATCCAGGGGGAAAGTTAAGTCGGAGAAAAATAAAACTTTTATAGCGCTCAAAATGATGAATTGTGTAGATTATGCAACTAGGAATTCTCGTGTGCACATTTGGTGGCATAACAATTTTTAATTTAATTTCAAACCGTTACATAATTTCCTTTTTGTCCCAATTATTTAAACGGTCCATCACCCGACCCGCGATATAATTTTATTAAACCTCTCTTTCGACTAACACACCCTCTGTTCTTTTTTCCTTTCTCAATTTCTCTTGTCCCGGATGGGATTAGTTCCATTTGAGAGGCAGCACAGACCCCATTTTAGCACTCTTTTGAGGTAAAAGCGTTAACAACATGTGAAAAACGATCTATTTTTTAATTTTTAATGCAACGCTTGGTAGCCCTGTAACAATATTATGAGGTTGGCAGAAATTACACAAGTTGGCCATTTGTCATTTCCAACTGTCACTTGATGTGATTTATTATACAACTAGAGATAAACAAACGAAATGTAATGAATCTTTTGATCAATTTTCTGTAATGTAATTAAAATTTGACTCTGGAACTCGTATTGATGAAAATTAAGTACTCTGCTCTGGAGTGGGGGGATGACAAGATGTTTTCATCCCTGTTTAATTATTCCTATAATTTTGCTTTGATCGAAGTTGGCCGGCAGGCTTTTGTTTACGCACGGCCAACTTCGCCGATTCTAATCCGAGTAGGCATCGTCCCGTAAACTTCAATCAAGTGTAGTTTCTGTTTTTTTTTTTGACACACCTGACGACTTGATTAGTTGCACAAAGGCTTTGTCGATTATCGATTGGTTGGGTTAATCATGGCATGTTTGATCATGTCGAACTATTTCCCTGTCTAAACAGAGTATTAGAATGCTTGATTTGACTTTCGTGCATCGCACTGTATCAACATACGCGAGTTCGATTTTATTTATTTTCTAATAGATGGGTTGCTATAGCAACGACGAGGATAAAATTATTCAATTATTTGCGACGCTTTCTTGATCTAATTCTCACAAATTACAAGTACCTGTAAAACTTTTTCGTATTATTAAAATGCAAATAAGAAGAATTCGCGTTTTATCTCGGAGAGAAAATCCGAGTGAATTTTTAATAATCTACTTGAATTTTTCATCAAGTTTTTTGAATGTTATTCAGTTTTCCACGTGACAACAGAAACGGCCTTCGTAATCATAACAAAACTGGACAAATAAGGGTCGAACCCTTAACCCGAACCCATTTCTATGCAAAATCCGCCGCCCCCCGATTTAATTTCAAAGGGTGTATTGCTATGATGACAATACTTTTTTGTATACACCACCAAAAATAGATAATTTACGAACTCATTTAAGTCCCTAAATCGAGTACGTAAAATAATTGTTTTAAGTATTTTTTTTTAATTTTTAGCCACTATTTTCGAGAGTTAATACATAAAAGTTAATAAAAAAATGTTGTTTGTAACACGTACCTAAAAAGTACTTGCGGACTCATCTGCTATTCCGGGCGAGGCGAAGCCGAGCAACGATCTAAAATTAAAAAAAATATAATTATACAGGCTGTTCCGGCTAAACCTCAACTTCGTTATTTTAAGTAGAAAGTTAAGTTTTTTATTGCGTTTTTGGATTACTCAAGTGATTTTGAGAGAGTTTTTATCAGACTTTCCTATACCTACATTTTACTGTTTTTGAAATATTTGTTAGACTTTTTTGATTTTTTTTAATGTGCATCTTCCTCTCCAAAAATCGATAACTCGACCATTTTTAATTATTTTGAAATCGTATTTGGGCATTTGAAAAAGAAAGGTTAGATCTTTTCTTTTGTGTATTTATAATAAGATAATTGGAAAAATAATTAACAAACTTCCAAAATTTAAAGTTACGTTTGGGAAACTTCAAATTGATGAAAGAGAATGAAATTCTGCATCGATCTGTATCAACATTCCCTACACTTAAGTTTAATGATTTTTAAGTCATTTTAAGTTTTTTTTTTTAATGGAAGAAATTCATTATTATCCATGGTAGTTTTCGCATAGTTTGCCAAGTTTTTTTACAATTGTGTTATTCTTTTCGTAAATACAAATTAAATTTATTTAATCTAAATTTGAATAACTTTGGTATTATATTTTTTTCTTATTTCTATGACATCCTATGCTAAAGTAGCTATGGTTAATGAATTTCTCACAATATCAAAAGAAGTTACTATAACTTGAAAGCTATAGATATAGGGAGTGTTAATACAGATCGAAGCAGAACTAAATTCTCCTCCATTTAGTGAAGAAAAAATTGGGGTGTTTCATTTAGAAAAATTGAGTCAAGAGTAAGTATTTGAAGTTAAGTTAAGTTGGCAGTTTGTTAATTATTTTTCCAATTATGAATACACCAAAGGAAAGACCTAACCTTTCTCTCTCGTACACCCAAACACGGTTTCAATATAATAAAAAATGATAGAGTTATCGATTTTTGAATAGGAAGATTCAAATCCAAAAATTTTTTAAAATGTTTAAATATTTCGGAAACGGTTAAACTTAGGTATAGGGAAGACTAATCAAAATTCTCTCAAAATCACTTGAGTAATCCAAAAACGCAATAAAAAACACAACTTTCTATTTGAAATAACGAATTTAATATCCACTTCCGGTCTAACAAGAAGTGCCGCCATCTTGAAAATATTTTCATTGAGTACAACCTCACCAATTATGGTCATAAACAAAATTGTAGATAAAAATCATTGTTAGAACTCCTAAAACTTCTAATGTGGGGTTTAGCCGGAACATCCTGTATAAGTATACGTAAGAATGTAGCATTTTCAGATCTTATTTTGCAATTTTCCACTTTGTTTCAAGAAAAACTTCCCTTAAAAACGCTTTTTAATTTATAGAAAATAGTACGTTTGAAACTTATTTGGCAAATTTTTGCTTAATTGAGTAAAGCCTTTCAAATTTAGTGGGGTTTTTTTGCTAAAAACGCTTGAAATTTATAGAAACAAATAAAATTAACGCATTTTTGACTTGATTTTGTAATTTTTAGGCTTGTTTTTACGAGTTGTTTATACTTTGATGAACTTTTCGTTAAATCAACGCTCTGAATTCATAGCGAATATTAGACGTTCCTACATTAAATTTAGCAATTTTCAAAAAAAATTCTTAAAATTTGTTTCATTTTTAATAAAAATGTTTCGAATTCAATAAGCTTCCCGAGAAAAACGCTTCATGAAACAATAAAAAATAACGCATTTTTGATTGGATTTTTGGTCAATTAAAACAATATAATTTTGTTCTTTACAAACTAATAAAATTACTAATTAAAATTAAAAAGATTTTTATTCCTTTCTACAGAGTGGTTATAAATGATTTTCATCTAGCCAGCTTTGGATTTTTTTTGCATGTAACTATATTTGTGCCGCTCTACTTTTTTGAAAACTCTAGTTCTGTCATTAGTGTCACTTATTAATTAATTATAAATTGTTGTTAATTGAACTTTTATTGTTTCAACTAATTTCCAATAATAACTGATAATGATGTACCTATACTTTAGAAGAAATCAAGTTTATAATTGAAGTCTATTTTCGAAGTGGACGCTTAGTAAACGGCGATTTTTTGATTTTGAGTTAAAACAAGTAGGTACCCCTATTTTCGTAAAGCGGCATTTTTTCTTTTACATGGGAAATTCACAGCTGGCTAGATGAAATTCATTTATAACCACTCTGTAGTTACATATTTTTATAATATATTTTTTATTATAAATTTTCCGCGTCATGTAATCATAAGAAAAGGTCAAACCTTTTTAAACCAAAGCCAGAAAAACGAAAAAATGTACTGTTGGTTGCATACAATTACAACATTTTTCCGATCGATACAACAGACAAAAAAATGATTAATGTGTTTGTTTGTTGGCAGAATTGGACCTGGATTTTTTGGAAAGACGCCAGAATGATCCGAACAATGAAAATCAAGAGGCGCCGAGGAGCCCCATTGAGATCAGTCCCGAATCAGTCGATAGAGTTAAGGTCATATTATTGGGGGCACCGGCCGTTGGCAAAACCAGCATAATACAGGTATAAAAATGGCGCATCCACCATTTTTTTGCCGGTTGTCTAACTCATAATCCAAAACTTTGTGTGTAATTAACGCCCGACAAAGAAACTTATAATGAGTTTCTTGCGTCAACAAAAATCCCCAATTTTCAACTGTCAACTCCCAAATCCTGTCACGTATTGTTGGTTGTCTAATAGAGTGTTTAGACAACCAAGAAAACACACAAAGCAGTTTGAAACCGCTTCTGGCGGTTCTAAGTCACGCAACCACTCGTCTGCGGCCGGAAACACTTCCCAACTTCCATCTTACGACACTAGTAAAATAATTAATTAGGTTTCTCTTGTTAATTAATCCAAGTAGGTGTATATCAGGTTGCCTGTAATTAAACAGGGATATTCAATTCCTGTCGTCGTCCAAACACAAACCTAATTGACATTTAATGCGTTTCCGGCTTGCGTGGTTGTCGTGACCGCGACATTAACTACGTGCCCGGAATTCCG